GACACCTAAAGATTGTATATTTTGCTGCAAGTTAAGTTCCAGCTTTTTCTTATCATTATGTACAGTATAAGTAAAAATATTCCATTGAATTGTGCGGAAAAATTGCACTGTACATGGAGTACAAAAACTGTTTGAATATATTGTTGAAATAACAATGAAGTTTTGAAAACCTGTTATGGTTATTTAAAAGTAACTTATACGTTATAAAACCTGTTACACAACTTGGCTCTGCCGGTTGGGGTGTGTGCTCAGAGGGAGACACTTGAGGCTGGAAGTGGTTGATGCAGTGATAGAGAAGACGCCACCCCAGTCCTTGGTTTTTTATTTTTAATTCTTGTAATTTCAATTGTTCTTACATTTATGATTGTTTTTATATTTCTACTTTTATTGCATTGTAAGTTGCCTAGAGTCAGCTGGGCTAGATGGCAAGATGGGCGGCATATAAATTTAATACATACATGTTAATTTTGGTTTCTGAAAGAGGCATTTTTGCATGTATGAAAACATGTCAACAGGAATATGTGTAGCTTGTATTTTCATGTAATATTCTTTATTAATTCTTCCTGAATTAAAAAAAATCGCCTCAAAACAGTATATTTTTAAAATAATAAACATCCATATTCTTGCTTAGTGAGATTCACAAGAGCTTGTTGATAAAATATGAAATATCAGGTGGACAAGATAGATTTCGGAGGTTCATTTTATTATTATACAGTATATACTGTATACGTACTTCTAAGAAGCTGAAGAAAAAACTATATACTGAAGAATGGGTCCATCCAGGATAAATTGAACCCAATTTGGAGGGTATTTTGGCATTTATATTCTTGGCTTATCTGCAAGTATATACAGTATCCTACTTGTAACTTATTTAAGCTAATGTGCATCTCCCTCTATGATTATTACTACATTTCCAGAGAAGTATACCCAAGTGACTCTATTCTAAGAGAGAATAAAGAGAAGATTGAACTTTTCCTCCCAGACCTCTTTCCAAATAAGAAAAAAAAAAACGTGTTGTAAAGCAGCTCAGAGGTTCAAACTTGTTTTAACGCAGCCTCAGTGCCACCCTCTGAGCTTCAAAGAACAAATAAATATTTGGTAACAATTCCGATGTTTTTATTACAGAATAAATGCCTTTATTTTTAAAGGGAAAGGAAATTTCAAACAAGGAATAAAATCAATACAGTAAAGAAGAACACAAAACATCAGCCATCTGGTTCAGGGACAGCTTTTCCTGCTGCACATCAGTGTTGCGTTTCTTATGGTTTTAGCTATTGCACAATAAGAAAAGTCCTCTGGAAACAACCCTCTAGTTCTAAGAATACGAGTAGGAGCATGTTCTATCTGTTTTAAGCATGTCTCATACTGTACGTCTTTGACAATTGCATCTAAGAAGATAAAAGAGCATCTCAGCATAGCTTCAGAACCAAACAGTAGAAGAATCCCCTCTTCTCGCCATTGGAAGCTGAGTCAACGGTTCAGAAAAATGATGTTCTCTGTCCAAGTCATTTATCTTCTTGTTTATTTCAGCTTCTCTTGTTTGTTTAGCTGTCCAAACATTGTTAATTATAAACCATTTGATTTACATTCACCAACCTCGTTTCCAAATAGATACTGGGTGATACAGTACTGTTTGGCTCTTATTTTTCTTATTTTGCCCTTCCAGCAAAGGGACCAGATAATCATTTGACATTAATTGAATTTATTTATTTATTAATTAAATTTCTATACCGCCCTTCTCCAAAAAGGACTCAGGGCGGTGCACAGCCAAAGTAAAAACAGAGCATACAAAATTTAAAAACAATGTTAAAATAATTAAATATTCTGGCCGTAAATTAAAACAACCCAATTTAAAATCAATTTAAAATTAAACTCACGCCAGCCCAGGAATACAGGAAGTCCTCAACTTCTGACCACAATTGAGCCCAAAATTTCTGTTATTAAGTGAATTTTGCCTCATTTTAGGACCTTTCTTACCACAATTGTTAAGTGAATCACTGCAGTTGATAAATTAGTAATCCAGTTGTTAAGTGAATCTGACTTCCCTATTGACTTTGCTTGTCAAAAGGTTGCAAAAGGGGATCACATGACTTTGAGACAGCAGTGGTCAGAACTTTGAACCAGTTGCCAAGCATCTGAATTTTGAATACATGATCATGGGATGCTACAAAGATTGTAACTGTGAAAAATGGTCATAGGTCACTTTTTTCAGTGCCATTGTAACTTTTAATGGTCACTAAATGAACTGTTGTAAGTCGAGGACTAGCTGTATGAGAATCTCCTTTATAACTGTAAAAGAGAAAGTTGAAGAATAATTGCTATCAGGGTGAATAACACTGTGCTAGATAGGCAGTTAGTTTAAACTAAAATAGGATGTAGGTTTTTATATACCAGTGGTGAATAACCTACAGCATCATCTTTTTAAAAAAACCAATTTATTAGTTTATAATATAGCATACAAGGGGAAAAGCAAAGGAGGGAAAAAAAGGCATTTGACTTCCGACTCCCTTTGGTGCGGTAGAATAAGGCACTAACATTAAACCTGAACTTTTTACTTTTACATAATAGTATAAACTACCCATTTCTATAACAACAAGTCTATCTAATCGGTAAAACCCAAAATCAAATTTTCATTTTTTTCCCACCTGTGGAGGCCACATCCAACACAGCTCCACAAAAACAAAAAGTGTCGAAATACATCACGATCCGGCCATTGACATGATCGAGTTTGACACCCCTGACCTACAGCATCATCTGTATGAAAACTGCAGAAAACCTGCATACAATTTCTCGCCATACTGAAGTAAAAGCTCATTAAAAACTACCATAAACACCCTCAAATATGCACAATCCAGATAAAGAAAAGATAATCTTATTGAATACTTCAAATAAAATGAAATTCTGAATTCTAGATATGTTCTATAGGTCCATTCATTGCATTACTCCCCAACCACTGGAGTTTTGAAAAATGATGTGTAGCCTCAGCCTCCAAAGCTACCCAGTTGGAGTAGCTTACACATGGTGCTTCTTCCTCCTGCCTTTCCCACTGGTCATCAGATGGTTTGCTCTGTGCTTCATGGCTACAAGCTGAGCAGTTGTTACTTGTTGACTTGAGGTCTCAACTCTGGCTCAGACCTGGTTCTCATCTGTGCCTGCAAGCTAGCATTCTTATGGCTCCTATTCTAAATAAACAGATCAGATAGTTAAAACTTGCTGGTGGAGACAGTATTTCACTCTGAAAATAACTCCTACTTCCCTCCTACTCCATGTAAAACCAATAACTGACGTCACAAAAACATCAATCCTTGAATAGAGGTGGATTCCTTTTAAATAGCGGTCACAAGTGTTCTGAGAGCAAGACATGTGGAATGTGCAAATTATGACAAGTGGGCAATTAAAAAAAAAAACAACCCTGTAATTTTGCCCCAGGAATATATGATGTGAGATTGTGTGCTACATAAAGCTATATTTTTCATGAGGAATTTAAATCTAATTGGGCTGTTCACGAGCCTTGCAATTATGAATATTCTAGAATAAGAAAAACTTTTGGCTTCCTTTAGTGCTCATCAGAAAAAGCCACAAGCAAATTCTCACATATTGTTTTTAATTGTTTTTAGGTTTAGTAGTCTTGTGTTTAATTAGTGTCAAAGTAGCTGATCCTGTTAAAATGCTGCCAGCAATTACTGTTTTGGCTATGTGGTGCTTCATGAGATTTCTGGAAGCACCAAATCGCTGCCTTACACAGCTTGTCTTTCAAAGTGGAGGATTTGAGGAAGTTTGTTTCATAGTAGAAAAGGGTCCTCACAGAAGACCTGCATGTGATTCTGTCGATATAATGTATGCAGGTAGTACTTGATTTACGACCAGAACTGGAATCAGAATCTCAGTCATTGAATGAAGTGGCCATTAAGTGAGATGCCCAGATGACAGTTTCGTTCAATGGCTGCAATCCCAGCATTCCCAGGTTTTTAAATGGACAGTGTGAAAGAGCTACCTGCCGAGTTTAGCTCCCTTCCATAAGCCTGGATCTTTGGGAGCTGTGCTCCATTTATTTTCAGTGCTCAATTTATGTTCTGTGCGCAACTTATTTTCCAAAGCACCAGAAGACAAGATGAGAAACAGTGCATGGAAATTAATCAAGGAGAGAAGCAACCTGGAATTAAGGAGAAATTTCCTAACAGTGAGAACAATTAACCAGCGGAACAGCTTGCTTTCAGAAGTTGTGGGTGCTTCATCACTGGAAGTTTTAAAGAAGAGACTGGACAGCCACTTGTCTGAAATGGTACAGGGTCTCCTGAGCAGGGGGTTGAACGAGCAGACCTCCAAGGTGCCTTCCAGATCTATTCTGATTGATTTCTGCACCCCACCAAAGGAGCTGATCTTCCCTTGGCAGGCGCTATTCCAGCCAGCCCCCAGAAATGAAATTGAGTCCTCGCAACAGGCAACAGCAGCTTGCAACGTTTTCTGCTGGCTTCCCCATTGAATTTCTAACGTAGATGGCAGAGAAGATTGCAAATGGTGATCATGTGACAACTGATCGTAAGGGCAGATCACAATCATACGATTATGGGGCAATGGCTATAAATGCTTTATGGGCCATAAAGTACTATTTCCAAGGCAGTCATATTTCCAAGCTATCATTGAACAAAAGGGGCATAGGTCAAGGGCTACCTCTATTTTTGATTAGTTTCCTGCATTCCATTTTCAAAATGAAAACTCCAAATACTGTATATTTCGTTTTGTACTAGTCAACAGTTAATATTCTAACTACTAAAACCCCAAAGAACAAATAGTGCCAACGAACTCTTGCAAATACTATAGAACATTTTTTTCCTAATCTGATGTATCTAGATGTGTTCCAGTTCATATATATCTGATGGATATTGTTTGGGGACTATTCAAAAAGAAGGTACCCCACAAAGGAACTGAATAAAATCTGAAGGAAAGAGACAGTATTATACCATAAAACACATGTACAGAATAACTGCTGAAACAAATAATTAAAATTACTTTCATCTTTAATTTTGTAAATACTTTACAAAAATGTGTGTTTTAAAATTAAACATAAATTAGCAATAGACAATTCCTTTTTGACAGTAAATATCAAAATATATTATCTCTTTATTTAGACAAAAGCAAAACTGCTTTTTATTTAGACAAAAGCAAAATATACTAATTCCATCTTTTTATCCCAAGAACTTGGGAACTGCAAGCCACTGGCTATTTTTCAGTCACTTACATACCCATAATTATTGTAAATTAAAACCCCAAAATATAATAAACATCCCAGGCAAATGAGAAATTATTTTAAAACATAACTATCTCAGTGGTGCCTGGATCTCTTTGGTCCAAATGTTGAGATCAGTTTCCAATCTCTATCAGACTATCAGAATTTGCATAGGTCTTCTAAAATTAAAATTAAAATTATATTGTCACTGTTGATTGGTCCTTTTTTTTACAATTATAGCATCTATTAGTTTTTTATAAACATGTAAGTTTTGTAAAGATAACTGAAAAGTATATAATATCAGGTTTTTTAAAGAAAAATAGCATTCCTTTTTTAGCAAGCAACAAAATAAAAATATGACAAAAGAAAACTGCATGCATGTATATTGCAGAAGCACAAAATGATTTTGTATGCTGAAAAAGTTTTAAAATGAAATCCAGAAAAATTTAAAATGAAATCCAGAAAAAGATCAGATCAGCTCTCTTACATAATGGAATTCTCAATTAGTTCAGATGTTTGCATACCATTTTGTAACATTCAACTTGCCTTATTAAAGATATTGCTCAGGTGTGAGGCTTTTTGGTTTACCTTTTTAAAAACAAAATCAATGTTATAGTGACTTTTCAAAGCTACTCCAAAGTTCTTAAAATGGCTTATCATTGTATTCATGACGCAAGCCACTAAGGCACTTCCAGATTGAAAGGATTAGCCAATGACAGTTTGTGATTAGCCTTGCCTGGGAGAGGCCCAGTTAGGGGGTCCTTTCAAGTCACCCCACCATACAGCAGCACTTGGGTCTCGAACACGGGCTTGCTGATCATCAACCAGTGGTGGGATTCAAATTTTTTACTACCAGTTCTGTGGGCATGGCTTGGTGGGCGTGGCATGGTGGATGTGGCAGGGGAAGGACACTGTAAAATCTCCATTCCCTCCCCACTCCAGGGGAAGGTTACTGCAAAATCCCCATTTCCTCCTGATCAGCTGGGACTCAGGAGGCAGAGAATAGATGGGGGTGGAGCCAGTCAGAGGTGGTATTTGCCGGTTCTCTGAACTACTCAAAATTTCTGCTACCAGTTCTCCAGAATACCACCTCTGAATACCACCTCTGTCATCAACCCAGCATCCTAACCATGTGAGCACTGCTCTCATAAAATGGCTTAGTGTCTACCATAAGCAACAAAGCCATTTCACTGGTATTGTTGACATAACGTTTGGTACAGTTCACTCAACATAATATTGTGACAGAATTAAAATCTATAGGTAGCAATACTGATTAGAAAATAATTGAGCTCAAACTAAAAATAAATGCAAAGGATATAATCTAATAGGCTATTGTACTTGAAAATACTTGTACTCTCCACATGGGAGATAAATGTGCTAGCAAAACAGTAGTCTGAATATTGAATAATATTGATAATATTTATATGCACTATGATTTAGCCTTCCCATGGTGCTAAATTTGTAAGTGTTTTTAAAAATACAAATAGAGAATTGAGTATCAGAATACTGGGGCACAACATGGTCACCGAACTAGCTGTTTCATCTGCTAGAATTTTTTACAGCTTGCAAGGTGCCCATTCCTGGGTTTATATGAACTCATCCACTGGCTCGTTCAACAAATAATATAGTGTGTGAATTCAGCCTTTCTCTTACTGAAATACATACATTTAAAGGGCAAAAAGCAAATGAGAAAGAAATATTTAGCTACCTATCTTAAGAATTTTTAAGTCTGAAAATATATTTCTGGAAGAATTCATACAGCATCACCATATGCATTTGGAACTGCAGCCATGCATAAGACATAAATGAAAATAATAAGACTGTAGTTTTATGGACCATCATCACTGTTTCCAGTTGGAAGCCTGAAGTTTTGAAATCTCCAGTAAAAAGGAGGCAAACATCTTGGTTCCATTGATATAGTTAAATCTGATCAGGAAAGGAAGGAAAGAAAGAAAAACAATTGTCAAGCAATCTAAAAGTTAAAGGTGCTTTGTTAGTTTGAAGTTCTAAACAGTTGGGCTGTAGGCTGAGTTTGATGTATGATATTTTGTTTAGCACATAATAGCTTTTGGCTTAATATTATGTCTCAAAGAAATTACAATCATTCATTCAACAAATCATAGTTAAAAAATACTGGGTTAACACAAAATATGAATCAGGTTTATATAACCTAAGACCTCTATAAACTATGAAATGAGACAGGTTCTAATGCATGCAAAAAATGGAGAACAGAGAAATGATGATCACCTTCCATAATCATCCCTACCATTGATCAAACTATAAATGAGGAAATGGAGCATATTCCTTTATGCTAACATATGAAATTAATTTAAATGTTGAACCTGCTTATTTTCTCTTTCTGGGAATGTTCCCCATCATCCATTGCACCAATTGGAAGCATCATCACACTCTTCCTTGTTATATTCTGGAACACCCTGGCAATTGGAATTGTTGATCCATCCCGGATCATATCTGGATCCTGATTAAACACTAAAACAAATAGAAAAAGAGAAAATATATTCTTAATATAATTTTTTTTGTGATGTCAAAATGTAAAAATAAAACAAGATATAATTACTGGTAAAGTGTATGTTGCTAAACATCCAAAGATGCTTAAGTATGAGTCATTGGTTAGAATGCAGTACTGCAGGCTAATTCTGCTGACCGCCGGCTGCAGCAGTTTGGCAGTTCGGTTCTCACTGGCTCAAAGTTGACTCAGTCTTCCATCCTTCTGAGGTGGATAAAATGAGGACCCAGATTTTGAAGGGCAATATGCTGACTCTGTAAGCCGCTTAGAGAGGGCCGTAAAGCACTGCAAAGCGGTATATAAGTTTAAGTGCTATTGCTATTCCATAGAAACTAATTGAGCAATTCCAATGTTCCCTGCTGTGCTTAAGTTTGAAAAGACATGGGAAAAAGTTTGAATGGTTACTTTTTATCCCCTGTCCTGCTTGACCTCTATCATGATCTGTTTTTGAAATCCCTTCAAAAGTGCTTATGATGCAACATACAGATGTGGTATTTGAAACATAGAATAAAAGTATTGTTGGTAACTGAACCAACAGTTCAGTTTCTGTATCTGACAATCTTCTATTTCCAGTTCTCTAGAACTTTAAATGCACAAGTATAATATAACTGATTAGTCTTTGCTGATTGTCCTTATAAAGACGGTGAAAAGCCACATGCAAAACATAAACTGCCATGCCTAAAACAGTACAAACCTTTCCTGATTGCATTTTTAGCAGCTATATACTGAGGATCATTAATATTAGCAATCCAGGGCACTGCACCCATTAGCATAGACACCGTTAATTTATTTGGACTTCTTCGATTAGAGAATACATCTTCTAAATGTTTTTTCACCTAAAAAAAGAAATAAATTATTTTCAGGGTTGTTGGTTTTTTAAATGGTCTTCTAAAATGTTACTTCTATTGTGTATAGCTCAAAACAGAAAACCTCTAACTGAATGAGTGAGCTGGCTATCAAACTGATGGGAGGAGAAGTATCAACCAAATCAAGATGATAGTCACAACTCTCCAATCACAGGACATAAAAAGAGATTGAGTTTGATTATCATCACCATCCACTGATGGTCCCGCCACAGTAACCCTCCATGCCTCATCTTCAATTTCCAGCTGAGATGTCTGCTGTTCTTTAATTTTCTTCAAGTTAGAGCCTCTTCTCAATCTTCAGTCTGTGCCAGTGCCAGGATTCTTCACACTCGGAATCTGGGCTGCAAGCAGTTTAGTTCCCTCCACTGACTACAACTGAACAATCTGAATGAGAGAGAGCTATGATTTGGGCAAGAGATGCGTCCCTTCATGATCAAACAATATTAGGATCTGAATTGTGCACCTATACCAAATCGCTTCACATCATTCTTGTTACACATAGAGTGGACTCTGAAAAGCTATTAAAAATTGGCAAGCCATTTAAAAAAGCCTTTCTTGAAAGACAACAGTTCCAGCTGGTTGATTGGGTGGTTTCTCCCCTAATTCTGACTCAAGGAAGCATAATAACCTAGCAATGCTAAGTAGGCAACCAAAAACAACCAGGCATGCAGTTGAATTTCCACCTATTTGATCTAAGAAGTCAGTTTTCCATCAGTCTTCTTGGCCCGTTAACACCAAACTGTTCAGAGCTATACTGTACTATAGTACAGTGATGGCTAACCTTTTCTGGACCGAGTGTCTAAAGCGCACACGTGCGTGCTCAAATGTGCTTGTGTGCGCCCAAACCCCAAAATGCAATATGCACATGTCACCCGCACATGCGCCCAGTCCCCGTGCATATGTTGCCACATGTGCCCCGTGCATGCGTGCGTGCCGCCACATGTGCCCCACCCCATCCCGCATGCACGTGAGGCCCCCCCCATGTGCCTCACCCCCCACTCATGTGCGGCAGAGACCTGAAGACCAGCTGGCCGGTGGGAGGCATGCGTGCGTGTGCAGAGGAGCTGAATTGGGGTGACAGTTCGCATGCCATCAGAGAGAACACTGCGTGCCACCTCTGGCCCATATGCCATAGGTTCACCATCACGGCTATAGTACATGAGATTATAGTTATACTATTTCAACTCATGTTATACTATAACATGAGATGGAATAACCCAATAAGATGACAGAGCCCTGATCTCAAGATCTCTTACACATAATTCAATGTTTTGCGTAGCTGCTCATTTTTCATCTCATTATGAAAAAGAAGCTTGGTACCAAAACTGTGTCAGACTAAGCCATTCAGAATTATGCTGAAGATCAATAACAAATCATCTCAGATACGTTGGAAGTCATAAGACTTCAAGAAAATATTACCTGGTGTTCCACTTTAGACAAATCCATATGAGGGACTTGCCGGATTGAAAACTTTCCTATGACTTTTGATGGTATAACCGTTTTGATACCTGGTTCGTAAAAAGCTCCCTCTATCCCATGAATAGAGAGAGATGGCAGGCGCCACATATGTGAGAGTATTTTCTCCTTAAAAAGAGAATGAACAAAGCGAAATAGAAAACTTTAGCCAGAGTGTATTCAGTAAAGTTACAGTAGTGAGCAATGATATCTCTTTTAGGATATTTTTAAATATTACTCCAATTACACTGCTTTTTCAGTGACTGCTCACACCTAACTAAAATCAAGTTTAATAGCCAATCATAAATAGTTGACAATATTAAGCATACCTTAATTATCTAACATAGATTAGACTAGGAAAGCAAAATTACTGATGTTAATGCTATGTTTATTATAAAGTTATAGGAATAGAATCCTGCATGTTTGAATGTGCTTCCCTTGTCCCTCCCTTGATCTCTGGAGAACTAGGAATGGTCAGTTCTCAAGGGAGAAATAAACTGAAGATGGCTTCCCTAAAAACAGAACCAACAACAACAGCGGAATGAAGAGCCAGCAAATAGACAGGGCTCTTTATGAGCTATGGTGGTGCAGTGGTTAGAATGCAGTACTGCAGGCTGCTTCTGCGGACTACCGGCTGCCAGCAGTTTGGCAGTTCGATTCTCAACAGCTCAAGGTTGACTCAGCCTTCCATCCTTCCAAGGTCGGTAAAGTAAGGACCCAGATTTTGGGGGGCAATATGCTGACTCTATAAACCACTTAGAGAGGGCTGTAAAACACTGTCTGTATAAGTCTAAGTGCGATTGCTATTGCTATTTATAGTTCCTCTCCAGGCAAGGAAAGACTTGAGCTCATCCACAAGTGACCCAAGAAGACCGCAAGACAGTGATGTCCAGCAAGGTTAATGCTCTGGGAGACAACGGAATGGCTATCTTGTTCAAACCAGAGTCAACATCTTTAAAAGGACACTGGGCTGACAGAGAGGCAAGATAGGTGTCTGCAAAGGGGCATAGTGTCATGGAACGTAGCTTTATCAGAACTCATGAATGGATGAACAGTACTTCCACTCAGCATTGGAGCAAGGCCATCCAATGTAAATCTTAGGTTTGAAGGAAAAAATTAGGAGGATGGAAAATAGTAAATAGCATCTATGATAATTATAATGAAGAACCAGATCTATTGCGATTAAACTGTCTGACTATTACCAGTAATAATAATTCATTGCCACACTTTTATCAAGGTATTAAATACTCAGTTCAAAATAAAAATGAACACAAATTACTCAAACAGCTTAAACGGGGAAAAACAGGGAAACACTAACATTATGTTGATAAAACACATTAATATACAGGGGCACAGCCACAAATTTGAGCTTCATTTTCTGTTAAATTGTTTTTCTTCAGACTTTTCTTAAAGACAACATTACTGGGTCTTTCTAATTTATTTATTCCCTTTTGCCTGCCTGCCTTTCCTTTCCTACCCAGTGCTTCCAAGGGGACAATTCCTAATAAAACTAATAAAAAGATGTGCATCTATTCTCTTTCCTTGCCTTTGTGAAAATAGAGGACAGACTCTATAACAGGAAATATGATATACATAGTCTTGCCCTGTGAATGGGGAGTTTTGTAACAATGCCTTATCATTGAAAGGACCATACCTTGGTATCATAAAGGAATTCCTTTACTCCAAGATTTGATTTATGTTCTTCCACATCAAATTCTATCAACTCATACTGCTTTTTCTCCTCATCTGTAAATGGGGCTACATCATCATATATTCCAGGGATCAGAATAAGTCCAGATGAATTCACGAGACTGTCTATAGAATCAAAATTTATTTATTTATTTATTTGTATCCTGTCTTTATTATTTTTACAAATAACCCAAGGTGGCGACATATCCAACACACCTTCCTCCTGCTATTTTTCAAACAACAACAACCAAAACAAATTGTAATAATTATTTTATCATATTAGCATTTAATGTTTAATGAAATCTAACTAAAATATTGCCTGGCTCTAATCTGTTAAAGGAGAGAGGAAACTAAAAATGTAGATACTATTATGCTAATATAGATTGCAGACAGTAAAGGAGGGCCATTTTAAAATAGAAAGTAATGTATTCTGGCAGGTTTACTTCTGCCTTACAAATTGATTTAAACAAAACCAATTTATATTTTGTGTAATTTAAATCTATGTATCGATTAATCTTTATACAAATTATACCAGCCAATATAACATCAGGTTGACTCATGTCATGTTCTGATTAGCATTCCACTTCTATGTTTTAGCCTTGCAGTTAAGATCTCCTTAAATATCACAACAACATTTGGCATTAGTGGGAAGCCTTTTACAAGTTTATCATCCTTTCATATAGCATCAGCTTTCTGTGTGTTTATACTGCCTAAAATATGGTTGAGGGACTTGGTCACAATTCAGCCTCCCAATCTTCTGTAGCAGGGGGCTCCAAATTTGGCAAATTTAAGACTTGTGGACTTCAACTCCCACATAAAGCTGGCTGGGGAATTCTGGGAGTTGAAGTCCACAAGTCTTAAATTTGCCAAGTTTGGACACCCTTGTTCTGAAGGATTGCAGGAGGCTACTCAGTAATGATGTGAAATCATCAGAACACGTTTAAGCATTTTTAAACTCCCTTTTTGGTTTTCATGGTACTAAAGGTGCTATGAAATGGAAGACACCTCCCTCCCATCAGTAAAAACCTAACAATTCCATATAAACAATATATAGTTTTCTTTTTTTACCAAGTAGAGCTACCAAATCAGACATGGGCTCATGGATGATGCCACCTGCACTTCCTGAATGAAGATCTTTTTCCCCGCCTTCTACCTAAATTAAATAAAGACAACATCTTAAGCCATCATACAGATAAAACCAACATTTAAATAAATTTTGAATTTATAGTACTGGTGTTTTATGGGTGCTTGCACCAAGATTAATTGTAAAAAAATGATTTGGGTTTTGTCTATCAATTAGCAAAAATTTCTCCAACTTTGAAACCTTCTGTTGTCTTTGCTGTATCAGAATTGTTGTTTATGTCTGTAAATAAAGTATCTACAAATAAAAACATGCATATTTCTATGTTTATTGCACTAATCAATAACCACACTTTTCTGAAGTATATTCCTAGAGATTAAGACTCTAATAAGGAGATCATCCACCTGGTGGAAGGCGACCATGAGTCAAGGAGTCGATCAATCCAAAAATGTTTGGAAATGGAAATCCTGCTTAAGGATCTTCAGCAAAAGAAATATACATCAGACTAGAATAGATTTCAGTTTTCCACAGAACTAATGGAAAATCATCCTGGATGGAGTGTCTTTATGTCTACTTTATGTGAGGACAGAAAGTGAGAAAATAGCCCTGGTTTATACATTGGATGCTAGCTACAATCCCTGTTAAAAGCTACAATTGTAATGAGCCAAGAATACAGGTAACTGTCAATTCAAGAATTCCATTTGCCCATCATTATTTTGTAGCCAGTGTAGAATGATACATAAGACATTGATTCCGATTGAAGGAAGCTCAATTTGATATTTCTGTCACATATGATAAAGCAGTCTTGAGCTAGTCACTGTTCTTTTTATACTTAATCTATTTTAAAAGAGCCTGAAAATAAAAATGAGATAGCTCAATAAGGTCCTGATCTCTTTACATGGAGTGTAGGAAGCAAGCATGATAAATAAGCACATGAGAAACAGTAAAGGAAATATAAATTTACGATTAAGAGCTTAGGGCTGATGATTAATTCTTAAATCTGCAGTCTTATATTTGTTAAGAAGAAGAAGAGAAAAAGTGCAGAGAGTGAAGATGTCCTGTATGGAAGCAGTAAGGAAAAGATCTATTAGTAGATCTCAAGCTTTGCAGTAAATCAGCATCGATTTCTGATTCCCAATTATCTAACAATGACTGCAGTTAAAAAGCAATAGACTTACTGGGTTGCTGAAAGATAAAGAAAACTAGGGGTAAACATTTATATGAAATACTGTTAAACTTGATCCTGGTATAGTTTACAAACAACTCATGTTAGCACATGCTCACAGCTTCCAGGTTTTAGAGTTCCTCCACTCAGTTAAACCATCCTTTTTCATCTAATCTGATTGGTGGATTTTAGGATTGTAGTCGATCTGTTACTTATTAGTTAGCTACTTTTATATTCTTTCTCCATGGAGTTGAAGAATGTCATCCCTCGTCATGAGCTGTGGTGGCTCAGTGGTTAGAACGCAGTATTGCAGGCTGACTCTGCCTACTGCCAGGAGTTCAATCCGGACCGGCTCAATGTTGACTCAGTCTTCCATCATTCATCATTCTGAGATAGGTAAAATGAGGACCCAGATTGTTGTGGGTAATATGCTAACTCTGTAAATCACTTAGAGAAGGCTGTAAAGCACTGTGAAGCAATATAAAAGTCTACGTGCTATTGCTATTGTACCCTCAGTTACAACTCTGAATTTGATTGAGACTTTGTGAGAGCTCAGAATTTCCCAGGTTGCTCCTAAAATTTCCTGAGCTTAATTCAATTTTCTAAACACAGCATAGATATTATCCATTCTTGTTCTATAGTAACCTTCCATAATTTGTTGCTCTCCATACATATCACAAAATTCTCATGAAAAAAGTGAAATTACAGTTGCTGTAATCCAATTTATCTGTTGGGCATCAAATTGGGAAATTTTATCTAGAGATAGTAAAAATTGCATCTTATCAGCTTGAACGAAACTCCCCCAGAATACAGTCAGAATATTTTAGCCACAAATAATTCTGGTTTTACCCTCTTACCTCCACTGAGAAGCAGGCATTTCCTCTAGCTCCATATGTAAGAGCTGGTTTTGTTTTGGAAAGCCAGGTATTATCTGAAATCAAAATATAGTCAACACTGGAAAAAAATCTTTCATTTTCTTTTTCAACCAATTTTTCCAGTCCAGTGGATCCTGCTTCTTCCATGCCTTCAATAAGAAATTTGATGTTTACTGGTAAATCCTGGTAAAAAAAAAAAAAAAAATCCCTTTTAAACGACCATTTAAAAAAAAGAACTCTCCATTTAATGTCAGACAGAATTATAATGTATAATCTGATGTTCAGTTCATTGCAATGTGGCTTGGATTAGCCTCAACAAAGAGCTTAGTGATTCGCCTCAATAAAGATCTTTGTGGCATTGAGATAAAGCATTTTTTGTTCTCTGGTGTAAAAATAAACATGATTTGTCTCAACAAATCAGGTGCCTTTGAACTAAATTGAAATCAACCTTTCTTGAATGCATACACAGAAACACACACACATATTTTAAGATCAAACCAACATTTGGGGTCAAATTGATTTCATTATTCAAAGTGTAGATACAAATTAGCTCTTGGCTGATTCACATAGCCCTAGAAATTAGGTGCTTAAGGGCTGCAGATTTCTTACCCTTTTTAACTGGAGAGATCAAAGCTTGAACGGAGTATAATTGACTAAAAGGAAGTGCTCTGTAGACTAATCTCTGAGAAATCACAGAGGAAAGAAAGGCAAATCAGAAGCCTGGAATATTACTGTCATAAGCATGATCACCTGCTGTATCAATTGCATATGTTTCTAGGACTTGTTGACCTATCAACTATTTATGTATGAGACCACTACATCTGCTTTAAATGGAATCTGGTCCTCTTGAGTTTGCCAATATACTGAAAGAATGACTCCCAACTCACACTCTATTTTTTATTAACCGTGTAAGAAACAGACCATCTTATTGCGAGTTATTCCTTAGTGCGTCCTTTCCTATTTCATACAACACTGGAGGGCCAGACTACATTATGATTTTCGCTCTATGTACTGTTCTTCTTTGAAAGGTATCTTTGGACCATCCAGCCTGGGTATGTCCTCCAGAATCTAAAATGTGAATTAGAAAATTCCACTTCTCACCAATGCATAGTTGAACTATGAAATTCACTGCCACCAGATGTGTTGATGGCCACCGGTTTAGAAGTAACCGGCACTTTTTATTACACCCCATGCTAGGTGAGCTGCATTGGCTATACTGCATTGACTTCTGAGTGTAATTTAAGCTGGTCATCATCTAAAAAAGCCTTTCATGGCATAGAGCTGGGTTATTTGAAGGACTGCCTATCTCCAATTGTCTTTGCTCATCCAGTGTACTCAGGCAGACTAGATGTTCTGCAGGTCCTCTCAAGTGCTGTCACCTTATGGGATGAAGGAAGCATGTTTTCTTCTGTTGCAGGCCTTGCTCTTTGGGACAATATTTCCCAGACATACATAGGATTTCCGCTCTCCAAATGTTCCTTGAGACCTGGCTCTGTCCCAGGCTTGAGATTAACATGTTAGTAAACCTCGTATCATATATTTTTAATTATTATAGCTGTTTTTGTCTGGGCTATTATGCTTATGTTTTTAAATTGTATGTTGCAAGCCATGCAGAATCTTTTGGAATGAAGTGGTTTAACAAATTTAAATAATGATAATAGCAACTAGACACAATGATAGAACATGGACTACTAAGGCCTAATTATAAAGTCCTTTCAGAATGCAAGGATAAGTCCATGAAATACCAGTTACTTTGGAAGAACTACACAAGAGAACAATTGCATTTGTTTTGCACATGATATTCCATGAGGCCTATGGCTGGCTCCTTTTGTGATGAAGAATTCCAGACCAGAATATATGAAAGGATCAGTGATACAAGGAAGATGTGTTCAATTGGTTAAACAAATAGTATGATTATTACTGGTATTAATATTAGTATAATTGATATAAATGCGATGAATATTGTTGTAAAAACTTTATTACTTCCTAAAATGATTTGTACCCAGACAACACACTCTTCAATTGAAGTTGGAATTTTTATATACTATAAAATAAAATAAAAACTTATTCCCCGCCCAAAAAAAATTCCAGACCAAATAAGCCTTTAGCCTCTTAGGTGAGTGTTGGATCGCTCCTCCTTGATATTTCCCTAATTTACACTGCCTTTTCCAATTGCTCTTTTTAATATTGCTGAAAACATTTAAAACTCTTCTTTTCCTACAAGGCCACATTTTTACTTACTATGTTTAGTGCTTTGAATGCATTCACAGCATTTATCCAGGCTAAGACAGGTCCTTTGTTATCAGTTGCTCCACGCCCATACAGATTTCCTTAGGATGAAGGAAACTGATATTAAAATTTGAAAATTCTGATTATGCTAAAAACAGAACAAAATATGCCTGCCCCCCCCTCCTTCTCTCCTTCACTCCCTCCCTCTCTGTCAGTGGATATGGAGTCAACTGAGAAAGCTCTCTGCTAAGGAAGCGGAAGTAATTTGAGAGAGTTAAAGTGCCTGAATAAACTGTGCTTCCATCCAGTAGAGTGACCAGTCTTAAGAGTACTGCCTATTCCAAATGGCTTTGTATTTTTTGAGGAAGTATCAGATATATCTGATATGTATCAGCAGTTTTTGAATAGTCCAGTGGCAACTCTGTTCAAAAATGCTTTTGCCCAATTACAATGTATGCATTAGCTGCATCCTTTTTCAGGTATCCCCACCTGTTTTGAGCTGAGAAGAAGATTTGGAGCATTGAGAAGGGACATCTTACAAAATGGTGCTGATAGAGGACTTGCCTTCTCACAAAATTACTAAGTGGAAGATCCAGCCAGTTACAAAGCTTACATCTACCCTAAGGTTTCTTTCATTTAGCCTCTGCTTCCAAATAGAAATGCCAAAATGCAGCTGCCTATCATTTCTAAAGAACTCTTATAAGATCTATTTGAGACCTCAAGCATTCTTGAAATAGAGATGATGTTAATGGATGGCACCAGTGGTGAAATGTAAAATTACTATCGGTTACTGTGGGCATGGCTTGGGGGGTAATATGATTGAGTGGGCGTGGCCAATTTCTTTTCTTTTTTTACTTTTTACCTCGGCTGAAGAGGTTGTAAAAAAATGCTTTTAAAGCCTCTGATGATCCCAGCTGAGCCACACGATCATCAGAGGCTTTTTTTTTTTAACTTTTAAAAGCATTTTTTCAGCTGAAGAGGTTGTAGAAAAAATGCTTTTAAAAATAAAAAAAAGCTGGGCAATGGGGATTGGGGCAGGGATTTTTGCTACCGGTTCTCCGAACCACCTGCCTCCATCGCTACCGGATCAGGCGATCCAGTCCAAACCGGGAGCATTTCACCCCTGGATAGCACCATACATGGCAGTGTGCTTTTCCGCTGTTTTCTTCTCTCCATCATATGCAATGATACCACATGCAACAAGTGTGCAGGACCTACAGACTCAGGACTGTGTACGCATTCAGTGTCTTTGGTCCCAAAGCCGCAACAAAAGTTGCCCCTGCTTTTTGGCTTTTAATGTGAAGAAAGCCTTTACTAAATGCAAGAGAGAAAGATATTTAAACTGTACATTTTTCATGTGGCAGAAGAAGAAAATAATTTTTAAAATAATAGGAATGGATTCAAACTGGCCATTTTAAAGACTCAGACTACATGCATATACTGGATTTCAGTTTATAGAAGGGTAATTGTAATATGTAATATGACAGAACAGGGAAGCAATGTAAAGGCACAATTATATTTCTACATTTAATGCATTAGAGTACAATTCAGGTTACTTTTATGCAGCTCCCATGCATTTTTAAGCATACCACTCAGACGTGCCATACCACTTAGGCCATAATAAACTGCTCATGCTTGATATAATCCATTAAGATATTTTCAGCCAATAAAATATTAAGGCTTCATTGCAAGAAAATATTTGTATTCAGTCTCAGTTAAGATTGCCATAGTTCTTCTAGAATCTTAGAAAATGTTCAACTATGAGAAAAACTGCTTTAATCAGAATCTTTCATTTATGTCCAGTAAAAGCTTAGACAGTTCTAAATGCAGTCACTATAAAGCAACATTTCTCGTTACAAAAGGTTCCACTTTTTTATTTTCATCATGGGCATAATGGAAGGTAGGAAAAATAAAAAGAATATTTCATACCTGTATCAAGTTTAGCCTCAGTAATTCTCTTAACAGTTTTCCTCTCAAATCAGTGAGCCATATTGTGATACAAGCCTACGTGACATCAGATCCACATACAAAAGTGCAGCATAAACTGTGCAACCCTCACATCATCCTGATAAAAGCAGCACATCGACAGAGTTGCTGATGTCCCATCTACAGCAAAAACTTCTCCTTGTTGATAAGAAGACTATCTCCACACCCCATCCCAGCTATAAAGCACAAAGATAATCTCAAATATGCAATGATTATGTCTCCTAAAGTGTAGAAAGCTATTTTCTCCCCCAGCATTAACTGAATATTGCATGTCATATCCTGCCCTTGTCAAAAGTGTAAATTCAATGGCATAGACTCTTTAGCAACTCAAGGATAATACGTATAGAGAGAATGTGAATTATTTACTCAGTATCCTCTATTGATAACTCTGCCTGCTCTTTGTTTAAGATACTAACCTTGTTTCAGGTGGGAAGGAATTAGTTAAGCGGTGGGCATTGCCTATTCCTAAAATGTATTTTTTATAAAGAGAGCTCCTTTCGATCAAAGTTGCAAGATCTCATTTGATATAGACTGCATTCCTTCATGAGAGAGCTCTTTGAAGACATACATACAACAGACACCCAGATTTGAAGGACTAAGACAGACTTCAGAAGAGCATCTAGGCCAAAAGTAAGCAGTTGGAGACTAGATGAGAAGCTCAACCAGATGTTTGTCAAGCATGCCTTCATGCAAGATAAAGCTTATATCTTTGTCTTTATTTCAGATTCAGGTATGACAGGCAGACATATTCACCTCTAAATAATTTAGTAATCTATTACCAAGATAAGGATAGCCCAAAGATTGTAAGGAACCTCATCAGGGAAACAAAGAGGAGTATCTCCTACTACCATGGCATCTAGATACAAAGAGAGGATGGAAGTTATTTCTTCAACCATAGAGAGTTGAAATATCTTCTTAAGTGAATCATGGTGGCGCAGTGGTTAGAATGCAGTACTCCAGGCTAATTCTGCTAACTGCTGGCTGCCAGCAGTTCGGCAGTTCGAGTCTCACCAGCTCAAGGTTGACTCAGCCTTCCATCCTTTCGAGGTTAGTAAAATGAGGACCCAGATTGTTGGGGGCAATTTGCTGACTCCATTTAGAGAAGGCTATAAAGCACTGTGAAGCGGTATATAAGTTTAATTATGATTGCTATTGCTATTAAATATCTAGACTAACTAAAACTAAAAAAGCCAGTAGGCCTATGGAAATTGACTTCCTGAAACAGATTGCAAATAATGAGCGTCTGCAGGAGACTGTAAATAAAAGATTGCAATTGGAACGGTCCTGTACAGGTAGTCCTCAGTTTATGACCACTTGTTCAGCAACTGTTCAAAGTATGATAGTGGTGAAGAAGAAGGACTTACAATGGGTCCACAAAATTCCATCCACAGCATCCCTATAGCCACATGACTGCAATCTGGGTAATTTCCAATGTACCCTGCTAGCTTCCCACAAGTAAAGTCAATGGGAAAGCCAGCAGGAAATTTGAAGTCATAATCACATAAGGTCTTCACTTAACAACCTGGACAGTCCTCATTTAATTACAACAACCAGGACTACTGGAATTTCCATTGCTAAGAGACATGACTGCATTACTTAGCAACCAAGTTCCCAATTGCAATTGCCATCATAATCCAAGGACTACCTGTACATATAGACAGTGAAACAAAATGGACACTGCTGTAGCAATTGAGATTTTGTGTGAAAATGGGAGTATATTAAGCAAAGGAGATTACATTTAAGTCAAGAGGGTGGGCAACTGCCTAAAAGCTCTGCAAACGTAGATTCAGGCTTATAACCAATAGCAAGACCAACCTGATAGGCTATAATGATGCATATTGAACAGAAAAAGATGAAGATTTTTAAGTCTACAAGCAGACAGCTCTTCCTATATAAGGGTGGAATGATCAGTTGGGCAAGCAAACAAGAATATTTTCTCCTATCTTCCACCAAGGTAAATAGATATCTGCAGCACAAGCATGCCAGGAGGTTATGTGACTACATAAACTGTTAATGGGCTTAAGGATAGGTGAGCCAAAGCCTACAGAGTTCCTTGAGAAAAATCAAGGAAGTATTCAATTCTTTTATAAAGAAAAAATTACAATGTATATAGACTCATTCCATGGGACTGAAATACTGCCCACAAAAAAGTTATGGACAGATATACTTTCTAAGTTCTCATTCTGAAGTCGCCACAAAAGCCTTTGAAAGGGGATGGGAGTTGTGGATTGGTGCATAAGCAATACCTGTGAATCCAAAGGTACTGATTTTTCAGTATTTCATGACCTCTTAAGTAGAAAGTGGCAGTGGAGTACAAGTACGGAGCTAAAGATTTACTCAGTGTACCCTCCTTGCCTAACCATTCTAACTATCCTTGTCTAATGATTGCTAATCTGAAGTCTCTTCTTTCTGCCTTTCTTCCCAGGCACCCAGTCATGGAACACATGCTCTCGGATTTTCCTCCTGGTTGGATATAGTAGCTAGATGCTAAGTCTTGCCTCATCATCATCATTCTAGCCATTGTCTATCCACTGCAGGATGAAGGTCTCTTCCACATGTTTCCAATCAATACGGTCCAGCCCAGCGATTCTTAACACCCTCTGCCTTCAGGCAGATCTTCCCACTGCTGTCGGTAGTTGCCCTAGAGACTCCAGGGAACGAGGGCCATTTTTGAGGTTGTATTGACATGTTGAAGGAATAGACCATAATCTGCCATGCTGGTCCAATGCGGGTTGGCAGATGTGATTGGTGTTAGTCTGGGGTATCCATCATTGCCTGTTCACCTTGAGTGACTCTTTTGGACATATACATATCCAACGACATAGCCCACAATTTCATTTACTCACCCAAGCACCTTCACTTCATCATGGCCCCAATCATAGAAGGGGCTCCAATCACAGAAGGGGAAGTCTTGCCTATTCCCCATTAAGTATTTCCTATGACTAAATCTCATTTATGTTATAGTTATAATACCTGGTTCACTAATCATTGTTCAGGTCAGATTCTACTCTTAGGAAGGCTCACATCTATACAGAGAATAGAAGTGGTACAGTCTTCCAACAATCCTAATATATTTGGAAGTATAGGTTAAGTCCTCTTACAAGAATTCATCAGGTTCCTCTTTTAAACAGAATATTCTTCTTCCTCCATTTAACAAACTTAAAAGGATATGAAAATAATGGCTATGAACAGTTAGGGTACATCTTTAACTATAGACACTCCAGTGACTTGGTTCTTTATTCAATGTCTTTCTATGGCTGTATTTGTATCTCTATGTTGATAAATGATCAATATTTTTGTAGGTAATTATTTTCAGACAATACGTGTGACATTGTACAGCTTTCATATGTTAGTTGCCAATATGTCCTGCTGACCTGCTCATTGAGCATTCCAAAGGTTTACAATATTTGAAGCATATATCCTGACATTTTTGGGAGTAAGTTGTGAAAGGAATTGTTATTTTATAAAGTTAAAGCTAATTTTAAAATCTCTGTTTCTATTTAACTATGGGATGACAACTCTTCTCTTGCCCCATTATGTTGAGGCTGAGATTCTGTAAGAAATATAATTTGAAAATGACAATATTGATTTTACAGTTAAAAAGTCTAAATTCTGTTCTGGTAATTTAAATAAGATTAATATTGATATGACCATATTTTTCTCTATATATTTAGTACCCAGGAGTGAAATTCATAATTTTTCCCTACCAGTTTTGTGGGCTTGGTGGGCGTGGCTTGGTGGTCATGTGACTGGGTGGGTGTGGCTTGGTCATGTGACTGGGTGGGCATGGCCACCTCAATGCCACTCCCACCCAGTCACATGACCCCCTCCAGCCACACCTGCCCAGGTTTTGTGGCTCCCGGTGTTTTCTGTAGGAAAAGGGTCATGTGACTGGGTGGGCATGGGCAACTTGATTGGTCTCACCCTTAGGAAATTTCTCCTGTCCAACTCACAATAAAATAGCACAATAAAATAGCACTGTTCCAATATTTAGAATAGAATAGAATAGCAGAGTTGGAAAGGACCTTGGAGGTCTTCTAGTCCAACCCCCTGCTTAGGCAGGAAACCCTACACCACTTCAGACAAATGATTATCCAATCTCTTCTTAAAAACTTCCAGTGTTGGAGCATTTACAACTTCTGGAGGCAAGTTGTTCCACTGATTAATTGTTTTGTCAGGAAATTTGAGGGGCTCCTACAAAAATGAGGGAGTGAATCTGTTTTCCAAAGCACCAAAAGGCACAAAAAACAATGGATGGAAACTAACCAAAGAGAAAAGCAATCTAGGACTAAGAAGAAATTTCCTAAGGGTGAGACCAATCAACCAATGGAATAGCTTGCCTTCAGAAGTTGTGGGTGCTCCTTCACTAGAGGCTTTCAAAAAGAGTGAGGGGAGTACACCCCAAAAGGACAGTGCCAGGAACCTCTAAAACAATACAGAAAACTTAAAACAGCTATTCCCCTTTTAAAAAAAGTCAACCCGAAAGCAAACACAGCAGCTGAGAGGGAAACTAAGAGCAGCTGCTCAGGCTAGTTGAAAACCTGGGCATGCTGTCAAAAGCCATTAACCCTTCCAACTCTATTATTCTATGTTCTCTATGTTCTAAATTGGATGCTTCACAGCAGAAGCAATACAGCTGGCTGGACCACACATGCATTAAATTCACGGCTTGTATGATCAAGCTGCATCGACCCTTCCTGTATCTTTTCCCCCAGGAAGAAACGAGAAGTAGCCAACACTGCAGCAGCTATAAAAGATTTTGGGAAACTCCAGGGGGTATCAGCTGATCACAGAAGTGTTACTTAATACTCTTTATAATGAAAATGTTTGTAATCTTGTCCTTCTTCCTGAAGGGAAGAGGTTAATCCCAACCCTAGATGGGTGATTGATGGGTTTCCCTGCCCTAATCCTGTCAGTTTCTGTTGTTTATTGACTTGATTCAGCGTGTATCAGCTGCACTCCAGCTGCAACTGTTAAGTGGAGCTATTAACTGAAGAGAGAGAGAGAGGTGGGGAAGAGGGAGAGGGAGAGAGAGAGAGAGAGAGAGACCTCTCTTGCACTTTATTTTTAACCTGTTCTCCGAACTGTCTAAGCAATTTACTAATGGTTTGGGCGAATTGGTGAGAACCGGCTGAATTTCATCTGTGTTAGTACCTATCTTTGCCATTTTTATCATACAAAACTATTTTAAAAAATGTGAACTTTTTAACAGGCCCTTTATTTTTTTACTGTACCAACTGGATAATACACACATACCATCAATTTCTGTTAAACTGAAAGGATGGGTTTTCCATCCATCTTGACTTTTAGCTGGCATCACATCCACATGTCCATAAAAACATACAGTTGGTTTCTGTGTATCATCTCCCAAGTTTGCCAGAACGACTGGAGGTAATGGAATATTCTGAGCATCAGACAACTGTAGGAATATATTGAAACACAGTTAATGATAATTCAGTGAGTTTCTTAAGAAAGTAATGAGTAACAATTCCCTTTCTGGTGATATATACTTGAAAGAATTTTTGTTAGATGTTGGTTTAGTTCCAGCTCAAGATTTTTTACATACAGATTTTTATATTTACCAAGGATCAATTATCTATCTATCTATCTATCTATCTATCTATCTATCTATCTATCTATCATCTATCTATCTATCTATCTATCTATCTATCTATCTATCTATCCATCTATCTTCTAGCTAACTAGCTAGCTAGCTATCATCTATCTATCTCATCTGTCTATCTATGTATCATCTATCTACCGTGTTTCCCCGTAAATAAGACCCTGTCTTATATTTTTTGGAACCCTGAAATAAGTGCTTGGCCTTATTGCCATGCCCTCAAAAGCCCGATTGGGCTTATTATCAGGGGATGTCTTATTTTGCTGCTATCTTGCGATGTCTAGACTCTAGATTTTTTGTAACTCAGATCTGATAAGTCTACATTGATTCCATTGCACAAGCAAACATTCCTTCTATTTGTGCACAATAGTCTTTTGATGGACGAAGGATCAGTACCTGTTGAATGCCCATTTCACTGAGTGTCACAGTAGCTCCTAAGTCTTCAAGACTGTCTGCAGCTATTTTGACCATTTCTATGACTTTAGCTCTTAGACGTGGCTGTTGGGAATCACTCTCTACAGCCACCCACTCCTTAAGTTTCTGAAAGGAAAGCCAGAGATAAAACTCATATTATAATAGCAGTGTCATACTGTTATCTATATGTTCATTGTTGCGACTCAGATCAAGGGAGGAAAATATCTGAACTATGCTTAAAATGTGGATTATGGTTCCATTTTATCTAGATATCGATTCTTGCAGAACCTGCTTTTTCCTACAACCATGTCACATTTGCCTAGCTATATACGTACCTTCTGCAATAATCCTAGTTCTCCTAGTGAATCAAACATATTATCCAATTCTTGTCTAAAATGAGGATTTCTGCATACAGTATATACACTATAATTTGTGCATTATATATGAAATATCTATGAGATGTCGTAAGCCTAATATAATTTTGTCAAAAGCTTTGTATATTTTCTTACACACAGCTTAATTAGAACATACTGTGCACTCTAGCACATCATCATGTTTTGTGCTTTTCAATATCTAAAATGTAACTAACATACATAAGTCTTGTTTTGTTGCCTTATCTCATCCTGTCTATAGGTGGGTTAAGTCTCCCTATTGAGAAGGAGAAGAGTGGAAAGACGGTATCTTGCCTACAGTTCATAGCAAAGGAGTGCCTTCCTGATTCATAGTTCTCATTATACTGTTGTAGCCATTCTGCTGCACCAGCTCTTAGAAATACATTAAGTTTCCCCAGGAAAGCTCATTAAAAATGACAGCACTTGGCAAGGCTTTACACAGGCAATCCATCTTTGTAAATTCTATTTCCTTCTAATTACTTCTAAGGGACTTGTCACCATGCAATCTGCCTTTTAAAAAAGAAGAAGAATCAGAGAGGAATAACAGCAACAATAAGAATGTCCACCCACACAATCTTCTTGTCCTGAAATTTTGTTTGGAGTGGATAATTGCATTCACTCTGCATTGTGAGATAACTTTTCTCTTGGTTTTGCAGAAATGCCCATCAGCACAATGAATAATACAAGTGCCATTATCTTACTTTGGAGGGCCAAAACCAACGGAGCAAGTTAGTTCTGATTCTTTATTCACAACTCTGAAATGCTTTGTTGTCTACTGAGAGCTTGGGAAGAACCAAATATTAGCAACAAAAGATGAGCTAAGGATTCTGAGCAAAACCTGGTTCCTCTTCCAATTTTATCTGCTCGTGTTCTGATATGTTGGACTGGTGCTTCTACTATTGGGGAGGCATTCAGTTCTGAGTCATAACTTAGAAATTGATTGACTGGGAATCAATAAACTGAGCTCCCATCCAGACAAGAGGAATTAGTTTCTCTGAGTAATCATGATAGTCTTTTACTGAATAGTGGGCAGAACTTAGTGTTTGTTTCCTCTTTGAAAGCAGACATCATGATATCCTTGGAGCAAGAGCAGTTAAAAGTTTTCAGCCCAGGTCTATTTGTTTTGCATCTAGGAAGTGCTGGGGAAGTTTCCTTTAATGTTTCAATGTGGGAGGATAGTTTTGCTTTTAAGAGGTTTAACTGTAACCTTTGCAAAGCTTAAAATGCTCATTTTACCTCTTAACAATCTCCAATCACCTCTGCTTTTCAGATTCTTTTACTCTAGTGGGTTGTCGGGACAATAAATGGCTGCAAATTGCCCATCCATGATCAAAATAATTGAATTGACAATTGCAATATGCCACTCAACCCAACTTGGTCAATAAAGGCACAAATTGCCTCAGTGCCTACAGCATGTTTTCTAATCTACTTCTAAACCGTTTGCTTGAACAGCTATTTATGCCCATTTGGAATTGTTCCTCATACCTTACCTATTGAAGGTTGTTTTTGGAAGACCTTAAATGTCAAGTCTTCAAAACAGTCAGTTTTGGCACTGTTATTGATTGTCATCACTTTCCCACCAGCGATACAGCTTAAAATGCAGATTTTAAAATATCTTCTTCCATATTTATCTACCTAAGGCCTACATTGTGAAAAGAGGCAAGGGAAGTGTCCACAAGAGGCAATTTTTCAATGTGGCATTCAACATTGCAATGCCCTTTGTAGAGAAACTCTTGTAGACCCTATTGATCAATGTTCTTAAGGTCAGGCAATGATCTTTTGATTCTCCAGGGTATTGTAATGGTTTTACATTGCCACCCTGTTTAATACTTCTCCTGGATTTACTTTGATTTTGTTTGCTGCTTTTATCTCTGCTTCTAGTTTTCTCTGAGTTTTATTATGTATTGTTCTTACAATTGCTTAAAGTTTTGAGCACTTATGGGAGTGTCCTTTTCCTACTTCTACCTGCACTGGGCTTGAACAAGGATGGGGAGACTCCCGTACGTCCATTCTCACCTGGGTGACTTTGGTCTACTCATTGTCTCTCACCCCACTCACCCTCATGACACCGTTATAGTGAAGATGCAACTGGAAGAGATTAGCATGTTTATCATCAGTGGAAAAAACTTAGGATATAAATCTAATAAATGTATACGTATACCACCCTTTTGCTTGTTATAAAACAAGCAAAAAGTAAAATGAACTAGCAATCAACGAAACACCTTTGCATAAAGTAGGAAACCATTGAAGCAGAAATTCCTTTATTGATCCGGATAGTGAAGATACTGCATCAGGAATCTGATCTCCCAATCAGTATTAATACTCTTTGCACTGTAGTTCAAACTGGCAATCTGTGGCCATTGGCATGCCAATAATCTTAATCTAATTAACCTTTAACTTAACTCCAAGTTAAGACGGACAGACTTGGGTTGCATTTAGTTAGCAAAACTCACAATCACTGCATTTCTACCTGAATAAATTCATCCTGATGTTCATCAATGTAGTTGAAAAGCTGCTCCTCCAAGGATAAGGAATTGGAAAATAAGGAATTGCCCACTCCAAAAGGCAGCATGATAAGGGAGATATAGAATATCTGCAGGTTACAAAGACAGGGTTCAGTGTCTTAAAAAAAAAAAAAAATCTTCGGAATTATACAAGATGAAATGATTGCTTAGTGCTTTATAGCCCATCATTTATAAGTAATAAATAGACCGACAAAGTGAAAAATAAATGTTTGCATAAAATGAGATTAAAAAAAGTAAATCAAACCATCAAATAGATTTAACGGTACTTAAACATAATGACACCTTGCAACAATAACAACAATGTACCAGATCTGGAATTTCCCGCTTGATAGTGATGGAGAACCTTTTGGGCTCAGTATGTCAACAATTCAGAAAATGCCTAATTTGACTTTGCTGTTATGTCACACGCACACATCTGAACAAAAGGGAAATAATGCTCTATCACCTCCCCCCCAATCCAGGCCACTCTAAACAGTGACATTTGATGGCAAGCACTGAGACTCGGTCAGATGTAGAGGCCCAGGCCTTGACTTCAACCCTAATGTCACTGCTGCCACTCAAAGAGGCCACCTCATGCTGTCACTGTAAGTGCAGGAGCCTTGGAGAACACTGTAATTGCCACATGGCCCAACATTCCCATGTTGGCTCCTGCAGACTGGTATCAATGGGAGGGGCTTGTTAAAAGCTCGGCTCTCCAACTATTAATTAAAAATCCCTGGAGTGGGTGAGATTGAACCCTTTGGTTTTCTGATCAATCTGTATGCTAGAATTTGCTACTGGATCCTGTCATGCTAGTGAGACCAGGGCGGATTATTTCAACATTTATTGAGGCATAGATCTAAATAAATAAAAATTGGAAAAAGGTGTTCACGTCATAACAGATCCCAACCTTAACTACAAGTCCTTCTATACTCTTCAGTTACAGTTTTGATCACTGTAGGTATACAGGTTTGTCTGTAAAAAAGCCAACAACCCTGCTTATTACAGAATAAAACTAACCAGTATCTGGTTAGCATCAGTTTCAGAATTATCTAGCATCCTTTAGATGCAGAGAGAAGAATGAGAATGGAAATACAGGAGGAATTAACAAAGAAATTTACCACATATTGCTGGCAGCACATTTGGTTACAGTCCAAGCGCCAGGTTAGCTGAGGATAATTGTACAAGATTTCCATCTTACTGGAGGGAGCATACAACCAGACAGGCAAAAAAGATCAGAGGCCTGAATTGCAATAAAAATTTCTTTATCCAGCAGAAGATGATGAAATACTTACTTTCTTATACATATTGTATGTGTGTGTGTCTCTTATAATATTACAAAACTATACAAGTCATCTTTTGATCCATAAGTCATGAATGCACACTACCCAGAGACACTCTTACAACAGTTAGTTAAAGTTCATTAACTGCTACCTACCATAAATGTTATCCACCCGATCTGTGAGTTGACAAAAAACAACACTGGCATGACATGCCCATTGCTGATCGCTATCCCAGCTCTATCACTTTTTATTGCAATTACTGTCAGTCCTGACTTCCGTCCAGGATAATGGTGACATAGCCTAATAAATTTTACACTTTGGGTCTGCCCTTGGAAGGTGAGAGAAAATGGGGGAAATTACTGTTTTAATCCTGCCACATTTAAAACTGATTAAATCCTGTTCCACTCGCAGGCTGCAGTCAAGATGAAGGCAACATCATGGGAACAGAGGATGCTATTGGGGAATATTTAGAAGGTAGTGAAGAACATGTCAGGACATCAGCAACAATTTAACCTATTTGGCAAAAAAACTAGCAAATGAAAAATGTGGATCCTAAAATAATAGCTGAGGCTTAGGTTTGTGGTCTTTGTAGGTGGTAGACACGTTATCAATCAAATAACATTGAACAGTTTCTGCCTTTTGCTATGAAAAACAGCAAGAAAAGGATAGGGGTTTACAAATGGAAAGTAGCATACAGAGACCTCATCCTATCTAATGTGACAGGGAGCACTTTTCGCCATGGTTAATTGGTACACTGCAGCCAAAAACAGTGCTTGAATGCAGGATTCGGGCTGCCAAAATCTCTAAGTAAGGAGAGATTGCAAGTTTACTCATATATACACTGCAAGCTTTTTTTGTCAGCAGACAACAGGAACTGCATTTTGAGATTGGCTAGTTGTGGGATTTCATTGTGCTAATGTCTTCTATATGGACTTTATGTTCAACCAAGGCTCATTTCATAATCACTCTGGATCTTTTTTCCCCTTTGGCTGATTGTTTTTTTAAGACTGAATACCTTCAGACTGGCAAATCTTATTGAAATCGCTAAGCAAGTCCCCTTCAATCCTTTAAAAAATGTCTAACTACAAGTTTAAAGATTTGTAATAATTTTTTTTACAGCAAAAGGATGGATATTGTTGCCTTTTGAAAGTTTTAAATGGATTAAGAACTCAAATGGATTTGATTTAAGACTTTGAAGATAATTCAAAGGATCCTTTCTCCAGAGAAAATCTTCTCATTTTTACTTTGAAAGTGATAAGATGACTTTGAAGGCTGAACACTAGAAAACACCAGATGGCTACATTAAAATAAATGTTTGATGAAAGTCTTTGAGCTATTTAACTTTATAGTAGAATCAGAAGGTGTTACTGAAGAGGCACAAGTCACAATCCACTAATTTCTAGGCTTTTTTCAGGCAGCCAGCAAGCACCCAGCCAGCAAGCACCAATCTATCTTAGTCTTCTTAGTCTCCCAATGGGCAGCAGGGTGTCACACTGGAATTACAAAAGGGGTCTGGAAAAAAAATGACAAGAATTCTGAGACAAAGAACAAGAAAGCAGGTGCTAGAATTTTCTTTGAAGAATTTAAAGATCATTGGGAGAAAGAATACAAAATTGGTTTATTTGATCAAATAATATGATTGTTATTTCTGGTGATGTCTAGAGCTTTTATGATTTGGATGGATGATGATGGTTATTTCTGGTAATGTTTGTTTTCTGACCAATTATTTGAAAAGAGGAAACAGGGTCTGTTTCAACAGAAGGGAAGGATTAAATTGGCTGTAATAAATACAATTTGTAATGTTTATGCTATTTTTAATCATCTTAATGGACTTTTGCTGTTTAATAAGGAGCTATGGGATTTTAGAGACAGGCTTTAGAGACAGAGAATGGGAGGAAATATGGAATGAAGAGGTGCTTGATTGGATTTTTAAGAGATAGTGATAAGTCGTTAATGTTGATTATACTTGCTGGGGATGAAGGAGGAAGGTTTGTTTTCCTAATTTTTTCTTTTTCTGCATTTTTAAATTTTTTTAATGCATTTTTTATTATCCAGTTGTATTTGATTTATCTATATCACTGGTGACAAACTCGCAGCGTCATGTTATGTATCACATTTTTTCCCTTCACAGAACTGGGATGGACACGGCCTGCACATGACGTGTCAGCCCACAGGCTGCCATTTTGACACCCCTGATCCATATGTTTTATTTGAAATGATAAATCTATTGCTATTGCTATTTATATGTTTTCATACAGATGTATACAATATAATTATTTAAAACTGACTCATCTGGCAATTTATTGGTTGCTAATAATGTTAATAGTAAATTACAATACAATGTTTGTGGGGGACTAAGCAAGTTGGCCCTCAGTTGCTTTCCCTAAATGTGTTTCAGCCCAGTTCACAGGTTCCATTTTTTTTAAAAAATTATGGCTTAACAAATTACTTTATCTTTTATTTATTTATTTGATTTATCAGACTTCTTGACCATACATCTCCCTTGTAGAGATGCTCCATAGGGGTGTATAATTTAATTAATATAATAAAACATTAAAAACTAAATAATTTAGGATTAACTTTTTTTTAAAAAAAAAAAAGAAATGTCAAACATTATAAAATTACAAAAAAAAAAAAAAAAAGGAAAGAAAAGAAAAGAAAGTTCCAAGATGGGAAGATTTGGAGTTGTTAATACAGCCAGGGGGCATTTTATGGGGCCAACCAGCTCCATGTCTGCGTGTGCCCCTGTGTCTTTGCAAGGCTACAAAGCCAGGTTTTGACCCCTCTGTGGAAAGTCATGTTAATCTGGTCATTGAAGCCTTACAGGAACACATGGCTGCTCCAGACACCTCACCCTAACCCTGTCTGAAATTGACCCCAAAAGAAACCTCACAGGCCACAGAAATGCTTCCACACAGCCACCCTCAAACCCAGACTTCCCTGGTAGGAACCAGAGCCCACTCCCATCAGCTCAGCCAGGGTGCTGCCAACTAAAGATGATGGAAACTGTCAGGCTGGGCAAGAGAGGCTCATTCTGGCCCATCTCGACTGGCTCTCTCTCCTCTTGAGGTGGCATTGCCAGGGCGAAATGGAAGGGTGGAGAAAAAAAGGGCGCGGTGGGCCAATGGAGGACTTCGGGAGAGCAAGCGACGCGGCTGAGGTGGGCGACCTTCGAGCCCCCTCCTGGTCTCTCCTTCGTGCTGGCATTTCTCAACGGGACGTCCGAGGAGGAAGGCGAAGGAAGCCCCTCGGAGAGATACTCGGAGGGAGGAGCCCAATACTTACAAGGCGCCGGCTAAGGGGGTCTCTACTCAAGAGGGCAATCTCCTCGGCGGCCACTCCGCCCTCCCTCGCCGCTCAAACCTTTAAGGGCAGCCGGCTAGCCGGGAAGCTGTCAAGCCGCTTCTTCGGCTCCGCGCTGACTCGCTCGCCCGCGATTGGCTCCTGTCGCCGGTTGAGCAACTTCAAGTGGCCGGGCGGAGGCTGCCTTTTTTATGAGCTTTCCGCGGCGGGAGGGAGGAGTAGCCGGTGCAAGGCGCGGACAGGGAGGAGCGAGGCGGCCCACCAGCGCTTCCCCGACCCGTCTGCATTATCCTGCTAGGGGCCTTTGGGACACGCTGGCTGGCAGTCGGGAGAGATTTTGCCCCGGCCAGCACCTCTGGAAAAACCCGACTGTACCGTTCACTAAGCGAGGAGAAATCCCTGAGAATAAAAATAAAATAAAAAAGACAGCGTTTTCTGATTGGCTTTGCCGTTAGATCTGGATTCTAGCGTGATGCCTGGAATGCATTACCTGACTCTGGGGTTTCATCCCCAAACCCCCCAAATGTTAACCTTAGACTGGCTACTGTTGACCTCCCCCCATTCCTAAGAGGTCTGTAAGGGGCGTGCATAAGAGCACCAGCGTGCCTACTGTCCCTGTCCTAATGTTCCCTTTAATGGTATTCATTTAATGTATTCAATTCATGCTTATACTTATTATCTAATACGTACTCGACAAAATAAATAAATCAATAAGTTTGTATAATTTTGGCATAGGAAACTTCCATGGCAGACTACTTTTGCACCCTTGCCCAGGCATGCAAGTGTGGTTACCCAGAATTTAGTTGGATGCAAGAGACTCTTTGCCACCAGTTACTGTACAAAAAGTCAGATATAGCTTTTAGCATGGTGGTTGCTTTACCCAATGATTTGATAAACTGTAAAACAGCAACCCTGCAAGACAGGTCCATGGAGAGAAGTAGGATTGCCCTTGCATCTTCAGGTTTATTTACCTTCTAGGAATCAGAACTGATTCGACTATTTGATGTGGAGAGGGAAAGAGATATTTCTCCATTGCTGTCTGGATAAAGTACCTATTTTCCCCCCTTTATCGTAATAAACTTCAGTAAAAGGCTATAAAGCTAATCAGGAAAGTGAGTATTTTGCTGAGTGTGGTAATGACCTGGTCTCCTAGGGATCAATAATTCTCTTTGCCCTCAGTTGATATCAGCTGTCCTGTAGCTCTTGGCATTGTGGCTCTGTTCCCAACTCTATTGTAGCCATTTTATTCATTTCGTGCTTTATATCCTGGGTTTTGATCTCTGAGTTTAGGGTGTATTTAATACCAGCATTTAAATAGCATTCAGCTTCCACTTGATCCCACCAGAACAGGAGCTTCATTTTTGTTTTAAGAATTAAATTAAAAAAGTATTCTAAAAGAAAACTTTTCCCATGAGTACTGGATAATTAGTGATTTTTGTGCACAAGGCTCCTCAAATCTGTGGCATTTTAGATTTCATGAGTAACATTAACCGCAGTCACATCTTGACAAGCGTGCCTGAGCAAAATCTCCCAAGCATTGCAAGTTAGCATTTAGGCCATACCGTAATACGGCTACATATAATGCATACATATGTACATATTATACTAAGGAAACAATTGATTTCATAATGCCTGATTGAACACCCCTGAAAAAAACCAGCCATGCAAATAAGTAAAATGATTGTTTCCCTCCCCTCATCTTACATATCTCTGAATTGACAAAAGGCAAATCAGGAATAAGCTAAGAAATCTATTAACGAACTATACCCCATTTACTTATCAAATTGCCAAAGTTGCCATGAGGAAGAAAATGATGGTTTCCTGCTCTAAAACAAACCATGATCTTTTCTCTGTCCTAGCACATGTCATGCTAAGTAAGAAGCCCAAAGTGCATTGGCTTAGCATATGGGAAGCAATGAATTAAATTATGTAATGTTCGGAATTGTGGGTCAGATTTATCTGATTAGCAGGCTGCAGAGCATAGGGCCTTTGTAATTCCCTAATAATGTCTCAAAATGAGACTAGAAAATGAGATTTTCCAGTTAGATGAAGAGAGGAAAGAAATGCTGGAGAACAGGTACCCTTTCTTGATGAAAACATGGAAAATTAAATTTGGTTTATTCCATTATTTTAACATTACCAAACGATTTCAGTAGCTTGTCAATTTGTCTTATCTTATAAAGTTGTAAAGATGGATTTCCTTCTCTCTTCAAATACAGATAAAGAGGAAGATATGTTAAAGCAGTACTATCTCAAATTAGATCTGTACAAAGTCAAATTGACCCATTGTGATTTAATAATAAACTACAGTGATAGTAATCATCTATATGCTGAGCCGAAAAAACAAACTGCCGAATCACATTGGATATATGCATCAAGCTATCATAATATATGCCCTATTACAATTTAGCACAATGTGTAAATCGTGTCTGCACCTTGGGCAACGGTCAAACAACAGCACATAGAAATAAAATTGGTACAAATTTCCAAAATGATAGCTTTTCTGAACTAAGTACACACTTATAGGACAGATGTGTTAGGCTACATTAGTCAAAAACCAGAAGTGAGCTTTGGTTCATAGCAACTTTTAATAAAGCCTGTTAGTTTGAGAAGGTGCTACCAAACGCCTTCTGATCAAAGCAGCTAGTCTATCTGAAAATCATTTGAAGGTGCACATCTCTACATTTTGCAGTATTGCAATCAATAGACAAACTTAAAATTTGAAGAAGGCTTACCATGACAAAAATTCTGACAGCAAATAAGGTTTCTTCTTGTCCCATCCAACACAGAAAGCACTGCTCGTTCAAGATCCTTTCTGTAGCTTGCAGCTCTTTTTATAAAAGCACCCCCCCCTCCACGTTGTATCTTTGTGATTTTAATATGATGGACAGCAGGATTAAGGGCAAAGGTTCATTATTCCAAGTAATGTGATATTCAAGCCTCCAAATAAATAATGACCCCTTGATTGTCCATCTGGCCACCGTTCTGAAATTCCCTTATGGCTTGTTTTATGTAGCTACAGTTATATATGGATGGAAACCAGGAAAAACAGCAACCTAGTATTCAAAAATATATTCTTTGGCCTGCTCATAACTATTATGGAAACTTATGAAACAACTGAGATAGACACTGACCCTTCATCTGCCCTTGAAGGCCAATATGGGAAGATTCCTTACCCCAAGATCCAATGCCCTGGAGACTCTGGACACAGAGATACAACACAGCATATGCTCCTCTAATGTCTGTACTACAGAAACAGTCATACTAGCCTCATCTCACCTTTACTCACCATTATTACTGAACATAAATACTCAGGATGTGCAGAACAATTCAAAACCTCCCTGCTACTTTTAGATACCAACCTTGCTATAACATACTGTAGATTGAATGAGCACCTAGTTCAGTGATGGTGAACCTATGACACATGTCAAAGGTGACATGCCATGACATTTTGGGTGACACACCAGCATTCATCAACACCAACAATTATTCTTAAAAGCATGTCACAAAATTCTAGTGTGATTTTGGAGGCTGCAGAGGCTGCACGAGAAAGATGTGTGCTCTTGCACAACTATGAGTTGTGTGAGAGGGCCATGTTCTTTTATAGCTTCTGGAGCCTCCAAAAATGAGTTTCTTTTACTCTTATTTCATTTTTGTAATTATTTGACATTTCTTTGTGTCAGGGGTGTCATACAGGCAACACACGGGCCAGATGCATCACACGCAGGCCACGTCCACTCCCAGCTCCGCGAATGGGAAAAACGTCGTGAAACGTCACGTGACGGCAACGTGTCGCAGGGAGTTTGACACCCGTACTTTATGTAATACATAGCACCACACAATTGTGTGTGTGTGTGTGTGTGTGTGTGTGTGTATATATATATATATGTTTATATATATATATGTTTTCCCTACGTAACCAAGGTTTTTCTGTAGCCCTAGCTCAGTAGAATCACATCCACTCGATTCTGGGCTTTTTTCTTTTCTAACAGCTAGCAAGCTCTTCCTGCTAAGTGGGAGACCTATATAGATCCATTTGTAGCTCGTTTGCTTTCATCAGTAGGCCACACCCACATCTTATGTATCCTCCCTATAAAGGTATAGTATCTATTTTATGGATCTATATAGGTCTCCCACCTAGCAGGAAGAGCTTGCTAGCTGGTTAGAAAAGAAAAAAGCCCAGAATCGAGTGGATGTGATTCTACTAAGCTGGGGCTGCAGAAAAACCTTGGTTACGTAGGGAAAACCTGGCTAAAGGAAACACACACACACACACACACACACACACACACACAATACACATAAAATATAATTTATATATATATATATATATATATATATATATATATATATATTGTATTTTGTGTGTGTGTGTGTGTGTGTGTGTGTGTGTGTGTGTGTGTGTTTCCTTTAGCCAGGTTTTCCCTATATATATATATTATATATATAAGTGTATTCTGTTTATTCCAGGAGGGGTGGTGACCATCAGCAGTCAAGTTAGGCATTTTCCATCCTGAGCCCAAAATGTTCACCATCATTGACCTATTCAATATATTAATTCTCTGAAACTTGATAGATCTTCCACATATTAACCCTTTATGCTCCCCTACACAGATCTAATGCTCCTACATCTTATTTTATATTGTTTGTTTATTAATTGATTTGTCAACAAGTACAAGGAAACAAGTATCAATATAGATACATGGACACATGAAAAAATGGCATAAATGGATATAAATAAGCAAAACATACCCATAAACACGTGAGTACATATAAATGGGGACAGTAGGACAGGGACGGTAGACACGCTGGTGCGCTGGTGTGCTTATGCACGCCCCCTTAGGGACCTCTTAAAAAATGTGTACAGTCCATGGTAGACAGTTTAAGGTAAAAGGTATGGGGGTTAGAGAAACTAACAACAGGATCAGGTAGAGTATTCCAGACATTTACTACTCTATTGCTGAAGTCATATTTTTGCAATCAAGATTAGAGCGGATTACATTTAGTTTGTATCTATTGATAGCCACTATAATAATAAGTGTTATTGTGGTTGAAGTTAAAATAGTCATTAACAGGTAGGACGTTATGGTAGATAATCTTGTGTACTAAGCTTAGGTCCGAACGTAGACGGCATAGTTCAAGGTTATCCAGGCCTGAAATGTTAAGCCTGGTGGTATAAGGAATTTTATTGTGAGCAGAGGAGTTGAGTACTCTTCGTGTAAAATATGTCTGGACACTCTCTAATTAATGTCCGAAATACAGTGTGGGTTCCAGGCAGGTGAGCAGTATTCAAGGATAGGTCTGGCAAAGGTTTTGTATGCCCTACTTAGAAGTATAGCGTTACCAGAGAGAAAACTTTGTAAAATAAGATTGACAACTCTTAATGCCTTTTTAGCAATGTTGTTATAGTGAGTTCTGGGGCTTAGATCTTTTGAAATGAGTACTCCTAGGTCCTTGACAGAGTGTGGGTCATCTTTTAGATAGTTTCCACCCAGCTTGTATTTGATATTCTGATTTTTATTGCCAATGTGCAGGACTGAGCATTTGTTAGCAGAGATTTGGAGTTGCCAATTGTTTGACCATTCAGATACATAATCTAGGTCATTTTGTACCATAGTAGAATTGTCTATTATAGTTTTATATTTATAGTTTTACTTTTTTTTCATATATCTTTTATATCTTTTAGTTTTTCAAAATTTGTTAGATGTTTATTTTTATTCTTAATGTATCCTTTATGCTTTTTTTAAATTACTGTACCTCAATTTCTTTATGCTGGTCTATGACCATAATAATTTGATTTTACACTGAAGAAAGAATAAGACTTAAAATCCCCATGGTAAAAAGTTATATCATACATTGTTACTACTTTAGATGTTTAAAGTAGAATGATTAAAGCTGGCTTTATAAATTGCATCAAGTTAAAATAGGTTTTCCTTGGTTTCTGTTCAATATGTTGGATAAACAAAGTCACTATAGTTTTGAAACTGTGTTTTATGGTTCTGTGCTAACCAGAATTCTATGGCTTGTTCAATAACCCATGGCTTAGCACATGTGAATGCTGCCTCTATAAGGTGGTTTAAATGATCTTCCATCATGGAATTTAATTAAGACAACTTCAAATTATGACTTATGAGACAACTGCAATTGACTGCAATTAATTGTAGGCGGAGCCAAAAAGAAACACTATCACCTTTCAACCTTATCAAAAAGGAGAGGGCAGCCTAGTAATTCTGAGGCATGCTGTAGCCCAGTGAAGATGTGTGGACTTCCCCAGTATCCGCCAGTTAGTCTTGCTGGTTGGAGGATTCTGGGGGTTTGTCCACACATCTTGAATTTACCAAGGTTGAGAAGACTGTTCTAGTCTGTAGCTGCTGCAATAAACAAACTACATGATGTTTTGGAGTCTTGATTTCTTCTGGAATTTGCGACTCTTTCCTCCTGCTTTCTTAAAGCTGCAAGTCATCGATAGTTTCAAACTTTCCATGTCTAGCAATAAATGATATCGGAATTGATAGATCAAAGTTGAATTTATTTAGCAGCTTTTCCACATGGAGTACAAAGAATGCTGTAGAAAAATACCAATGTGTTATTATCATGAGATGTCTGCACAGATTGGAAAAATCTGCAAATAAGCAACTATAAGTCCCACAGGGAGAAAGGAGGCCCTCTTTTGCTCTTTCACCACCCATGGCTATATTTTCATTCCTCTTGGATCCTTCCAGAAGGTCTTGTTGTGTTTGCAAGTTCAAGTATAAGCTGTTATTTTCTTCCACTAAGATCAAAGAACTGGGCTCAGATTCTGTTTTGGGGGCAAGTCAATGTGAGGCATTATGTGATCATTTGCTGCTGCTTTCTTATCTTAGATTACACAACCATTAGAAGTTTTCCACAGATTCCATTCATCCTTCTTTGTTTGGAAGGGAAGGGAAAGCAAGTAAATTGGAGTGTTGCTGTGTTGGAATAATGCCTTGAATAGAGCACATGATTTTTTTGGAAAAGGAAGAAAATCAGCAGCAACTATCGTGTTTAAATGTTATAAAGTGCTCTATACTGAGTTTCAAAATATTCTACCAGGTATATTGGCATCAGTTAGACTAGGAGAAAAGGGAACAAAATAGTGCAACTTTTCAAGATTGTGGTAATGTACTTTGATGATCTTTCAGATCCCAAAGCACAATTTGCAAAAAGAAAAAAAAAGCTTCAGATTCAGTTCTTCAACTTGGCAACTTCATAAAGGTAAGCACCCAGAAGCTTCACTCCCTGAATATAGTTGTACCTGGAAAGAAAACACCTAATATTAAATGTAGGCCAAAAAACTCCAAACAAACCCCAAACCCAAGCAATCCCAGCAAAATCTAGAATACAAGTGGAAAATCTCCAGCCTATGAGCTAAATCTGGCTCATAGCATTAGAGCTCCAACTTTGCGTAATGATAAACAATACATATGCTTCACCTGTTAAGTTTCTCATTCTGAGAATGGGCTCCGTCATCAGCAGACCCAACAGGAAGAAGCATCACATTCTTGCCTGTTGCTTCTTGAAAAGTCAGTGTGACAGGAATGCTCCCTCCTTCTCGAGTCAGGTCTGGCTCTACACCAAAGACTAGGTAAAATAAAGGAGAAGATTAACAGCAACCCACATTTCACTCCCACAACCCAAAATCAGTATTATTTCTTTATTGTCAGAGCACAACATAAGTACAATGAGATTGATTGAGCTCCCTCAGTGCACCCCACCCAACACAATACAACTCACAGTGAAGACAGAAAATCCCTAACCCAATAAATCATATTAACAAAACACCCAGTCCTATTGCACCAGAGTGAACACATTACACATTGCGCCGGACCTGAAGTCCATCATACTACCTAGTTATGATGTTATTTCTCATTCAGGAGTCTGATAGCCCACGGATAAAAACTGTTCTTCAGCCTGTTTGTGCGACTGGCACAAATTAAGTTCGGTTGTGCTCTTAGGACTATCAGAATTTGTACATCCTGATATTTAGGCTGTGGAAAATATTTTCTCTCATGTACCTGCTAATTCTTTATAATCATCCAGCAGGTTGGCATTGCATTAACACAATACCCATTTGTTATCTTTTTCAAGGACCATTTTCCAGGTTGATTTTCATGAAAACTAATTTTTGCCACTGTATGCACTCATTCTAAAGCAGGGGTGTCCAACAGGCGGCCTGCGGCCTGGATTTGTCACGCCCACCCCGGCTCCGCAAAGGCAAAAAACGTCACAGTACACCATGTGACGCAATCGAATTTGACACCTGTGCTCTAAAGTATCTACTTTTTTTTATCTCGATACAGGTCACACACAAGAGAAATCTTAGATCATATTTTAATTAAGATATTGAAAGAAACAATGAAAGATGTACTAACCTGTTTTCATGGCTCTTCTGCCAGCCATATAGTGGGGATGATTGAAATCTGACACCCAAGGCTTTCCACCATGGCCCAGCTTTACACTGAATTTGTTGGGGCTGTGCAATTCAGCAAACTTTTTGGATAAGTAATCTTCAACCTTTAGTAATGATTAAAAGCTGGTTATTTACAACAGCCGAACAAAATTATTGGTCAATTATGCAGAAACTCTGTTTAAGACACATCAATTCCCTACAATTGAATAAATAAGCTATTTCATGTACAATCATGTATCTCAACCCTATTTTGCATATGGGCAGAGTTTGAATTACACTCATACCAATATTTTACTTGTCTTACATTATAGCATATATCAGGGAACATTCTAAATGGCACTGAAACTTAATGAGGATTCACAGCAGTTTGTAGACCAAAGCAATAATTGTAAGGTGGGGGGGGGAGAGATTTAAAAATCAAAAACTGTTTATGGGGGCAGGAAATGTCCAAGTTTAGATTTTCTTATCACAAGCTGAGATGGGACCTTTTTCAATTCTGCCTACTTCTCTCACATGTAGGCTTTGGATTAGTATTGAGATAACTTTACAAACCATGGATGCTACATAGCATTCATCAAAAAAGTATTTGCAAAGCCGCAACTGAAATTGGAAAAAGTCCAAAACATAGCCTGCCTCCCTAATGAAGGGATTTCTAGCACAGCCCTAATCCTGGCTTCTGTTGATGTAGTTAACAGAACTACATTGTTCTGAATTGTGATTTGAGCTTCCTTATCGACTTTCCTTTGACACATACCAGCTTAGTCACAACTTCAGGAGTCATGTCTGGCACTAGTCGGATTGAAAATTTGCCAATCACTTTTCGTGGTATCACAGTTTTACAACCAGATCCAGAGAAAGCCCCTTCTATGCCATGAAGGGATAAGGATGGGTACCGCCATCTGTGCATCAAAATCATTTCCTATAAAAAACATTAAAGAGAAGAGATGAAGTCAGGCATGAATATAGCAGAATGATTCAAGGCAAAACTATAAATCATGAACATGCGGCTACCTTGGATAGAACTGGAATATTTGTATTCCCCCAATGGCCTAATATTAATCTAGTAAAAGATCATGTTTACCTTCTGTTCTTTAGATCAATGTGCTAATATTTAACAATGTGTTTTTATGGTCCAGATTTAGTAATAAGTTTAAGGGTTGGACTGATTTTATATTAATACATGATTATGTACATGAATTGTATTTTTTCCTTCCTATCATTCTGTCTATTTTAATCACTAGGTATATAGAGTTTCTTACTGAATTTATCATAGATGATGTGCTGTTTATTATATTTCACTAATTAAAATGCACATGCCACCTCTGGCAGTGGGTCTTTCAAGAAACTACATCTTTCCCTGATTCTTCAGGATAGCTGTGTGATTCTAAGAAACAACATGGTGGAATTAAGATGTCAATAGAATGCTATTGTAACTTCTCGGTACTTCTTTAATTCAAACACGTATTTTCTTGATACTGGGCAACTATTGGTACTCCTCAACTTACAACATTCATTTAAAGACTGCAGCTCTAAAAAATGTGACTTACAACCAGCGCTCACACTTATGACTGTCACAGTATCCCCCACAGTCACACGATCAACATTCAGGTAATTGGCAACCAGCATGTATTTATGAGGGCTGCAGCACCTTAGGGTAATGTGATAATCCTTTCCAACCTTTCCAATGAGGAAAATCAATGGGGGAAGCTGGATTTGCTTAATGACTGCATGATTCACTTAAAAACCATGGTAAAAAGGTTGTAAAATGGGCACTGACTCACTTAACAACCGCCTTGCTTTGCAATGTAAATTCTGACCTCAGCTGTAGTTGTGAGTCGAGATCTACCTGTGGTCCAAAAAATCCAGGAAATTATGGATTCCTCCTCTTTAAATATGCAGAGGGTGCAATGTGAATGCCCGCACTTGCACCAAACCTCTTTTTTGGCTTCAGATCAGAAAGACAAAACGTCTTTACTAGAAATTATTTAGAAAGGCCTTCCAAATGCACATCACTCCCCAATCAAAAGAGGAGTCAAACGTTTAAAAGATGGATTGCAATAGTCTGTGTATGCAAGCAAAGAAATCTCAGATTAATAATACAATGTTATGGATGTGTCTGCAGAAGCATACCTCAGATCTGAAAGTGATCTTAGCCCACCAAGTGACAAGCATGCAGATTAATCATCAAAATGGGTGTTTGTGTGGGGAGGTAGGTGGAGAGCATAGTTGTACCAATTCCACTGTCCACAGAACAGAATAGCTTCCTCCAACCAGATGCCTTTTGGATGCAAACCTAAATTTGCCAGAATTGGCTGATAATATATGGAAGATGCATTCCAACACAACTGAAGACTACTAGGTTGAATAAACCTGGTTTAGACATCGTTACCTTTTAAAAACACTAACCAGAGTACTCTTAATTATGAAGTGTTAGACTACGTAAAAGTGATATTTAAATATTTGCTTTTCTTGCTTACAAACCTGATAAGAAGATCCACCTCACCTTTGTGTCATGGAGCAGTTTTGTGGCTCCAACATCTTTTGCGTATTCTTTTAAGTCAAAGTCAATTTTGTCATAAAGTTGCTGCTCCTCATTTGTGAGAGCTGCTACGGTCTCATAAACGCCAGGGATGAGGATTTTTCCTTTCTTATCCACTAAGGAGCCTGTAAAGAAAGAGCCACATGCTACTAAAGGCAGCCCAAGAAGCTTGTTCCTAGTCATAAGTTGCTCATATCCAAAGCTTCTAGTTTCCCTACTGCATTCCTGCCTATCATACTGAAATGGCAGCTGCAGGGAAAATGGCAAATAAGGAGAGCTGCACCACAGGCAGACTAGCATCTACACAAAAGCTGCTGACAAAAACCAACATAGCCAACATTCTCTTTTTAGATAGGATTTAGAATTTATTTTTTTTAGACCTTAGACACAACCACACTAAAATACATGCAGAGCTACAGGGCAGTGCTGTACTTCAGCTAATTGCCCTGCCTGCCGAGCGATCCGTCTTACAGCCAATTCAAGCAGGGAAAGGATTTAAGGTCAGGCTCAGCCTGGACCCAGGGAAGACTGTTCTCTGAGCACCCTTCTTCTATAAGCCAAAGTACATGCTGTTTAGGTCCCAGGATGCATCCTTAGCTCTAAGCCTCCTCCTAGCAGATCCTCTGAAAGTTATTACAAAGTCATTATCTTAATTAAACGGAAAGGGGAACTATAATTCTCCTTCTTCTTCCCCACTTTTAGAACACAGTCAATTGTGTCCAGAGGTGGAAACCACCAGACCTTTGCTGTAACTGCTGTCTCACAAATTTCTCTCTGCCCAATCAATTCTTTCAAGGTTTAACTTGCTGTCACCCAGCCAGATATTTCCAGTTATTAATTTCTAGGAGGCCTGGGTTTATTGCTGTGGGTGAAGATCAAAGGTTCTTTTCTGGACAGATAGCAGGAATTTCCTTGGTCCGTCTGGTTTAAAAATCTTTAAAACATACAAAAACACACACACAGATACATCCCTCCTCAAACCCGATTCCTTTCTGCCTTCATTATTTGAAGGCAAGAAATATCTGACAAAACATCAATCAATTCTAAGTGTCAGAACTTCTTCCAGGCCAATTTAGGGCCATTCCAGAAGATGGAAAGGATGACCACTGGGGTAACAACCAAAGGTAAAATGTCTCTAAGCAATCAAATAATCCAGCCCTTGTGTGTCATGTACTAATAGCATATTCTCAGAAGAGCAGTGTGGTAAAGTGGGAGCAGGAGGTTGTTTGCATGGCTTTTAGCGTACACGCTGATGATGAGCTGACATGCCTTTGATTGGGGAAGCAAAGTGCTTGCGGAGTCAAGCCAAAGAAATCACGCTGCATGCCATGAAACAGAATCTGACAGTTCGATGCAAACTGCTGCAGTTCTGATCTGCTCTCACCAGAGCCAGTATCAGTCTTTTGCTCATCAAACAATAAAGAAACAAGCAGCAGAGATGGGAAGACGCTAGCAAATGGGGGGATATGAGACACAAATTTGGAAGACACCTTGGTTGGGAAAAGCTGCTAGAATTCAAATTTTACCCTCAACCACCACATAAACTGAAACGACATTCAATAGTCTGTTAATAAATCTGTGTTTCCTAGGTCCAACAATGCTGCAGTTATCTTTGTCCTTGGAGATCTTTACCCTCTCGTTAAGATTCTGGTTAGTCCATCAATTGTTAACCTGGCATTATCAAAAGCTTTTAGAGAGGGTCAGGTCTATTTTTTTTTTTCTCCCTTAAAGCATGACCACATTACTAACTCCTGCAATAGTTAATATGAGGGAGGCTATAAACTAAGGGAGGTGTATTTCCACGTATCAGAAGGTAGACCAACTGGAAGATGACTGGTTTTCAAAGGTTCTGGTTCTTTTTATATACAATGCTCCCTTAAAATAGCCCTTACCCATTAAAGCAATAAGATCTGTCATTGCTTCGTGGACCGAACCACCGTATACACCAGAATGAAGGTCTTTGTCACTGCATTCCACCTTATAAGAAAAAAGCAAAAGCAAAGCCCATTAACAGTCTTACTGACAGGCACTACTTAGACTACATTTTTAAGGTTAAGTCAAGCTGCTGTAGCAAGGATTTTTTTCTGCAGGTTTTAGGGAGAGACTTGCAAACTGAATTATGGAATTGCTGCTTCAGAAAACTCCATTTTCAGAATCTTCTTTAGGCTGAGAACTTTTTTTTTTTTTTTTTTTAAAGTCAAATATATCTTTCTGCAAAGCTGCTAGGGCTGAAGTAAAGAATCAAACAGCTAAAAGCATTTCTACTATATGTGTGTGTGTGGGAGAAAGAGAGGAAGAGAATAATTCTTTGGCCATGTAATTAATAAATAACAAGAATGTCATGAAAACAAACCCCAAGGTGGTAGTTTGAAGTGGGGTCTTCGGTACGACAAACACCTGGACATTGAATTTAACAGTACCTAAAACAGGAGAGGACAACCTACATCCCTAGAACCAAAGAAGCCTTGGTCAACTTTCATATGACCTGCAACTTAATTTTCAGGGCCCTCCATAGCCATTTTCCTCTTGCAAAAGCTATTTGATCTTTCAAAACTGCCCGTTGGGTAAGGAGTAGGAGAAGAAGGGAGAGGACCTATTCATTTTTACTCTGATCCTGCCCATCAGGGTGGACATCTGCGACTTTTGAAGAGAAATGGCCCATAACACACCAAAAATGCTTCCCACCTCTGATATAAGAACTTTCCAGGAACTTTGCATAATGTTTTAAGTTCCGAAGACCTATGGGAAGCAATATAGACATACACCGATGATACAGTATAAATAACATTGTGAAACCATGAGGAGATACGAGATTTCGTTCAGTTGTCTTCTGCATCCTCCTTTTCAAAGAGACAATCTCTGTGCCAAAATAGTTGTTGAAACTTTGAACACTCAATGGTTGAGTGAGGCTACAGTGCACACTAATGGGATATCTTTCAGTAAAGGACAACCTAATTATGGCTATCATCTTAATCAACTGTTTTATTGTTAGTCCTTTACCTCAATAAAGTAATAGCAGATGCCCCTGAGGCCATAGGTGATGCAGGGTTTCTTCTTGCCCAGCCAGTAGTTATCAGAGATACACACGTAGTCCACATCTTTGAAGAAAGTATCTTTTTGTGCAACAATCAAGTCATCAAGCCCTTCAGAACCAGATTCCTCCATACCTTCTAAGCAAAACTTGACATTGACTGGGATTTCCTAGAAGACAAAACCACAACATTGAAAAAGAAGTGGGGAGTATTATGACGTTCAGAGTTAAAGCCAATCAAATACTTCCAAAAATCTTGGGAAGACTCCATGTGAGAGCCCAGGTTGGAGAACTCTGCTGCAGCACCAAATAAAACTTTCCAGTCACTTTGTATGAAATATTTTCTAAACAGGGCGGGGGGAGAATTGCAGTGCAAAATAAGATCCAGAAAAAGTTAAAGGGAAGATTATTATTGCTTTTTTTTTTTCTATACTGTGATCTGGAATTAAATCAGCCTGTGCATATTTCTGTCAGAAGCAAGTTTCCCTCAATACTAATTGTTTTCCCTGAATGCAGTAATATATGTCTCTAATCCAGTTTAACAGTGATCTGAGCAATGATGGAGGAAGGAACAATTTCATCCAGCAACATTTTTCCAAATCTCCAGCATGTAGTGCCTGCCTGCTTTCTTTCTGTAGGACTATGGAGAAAAAAAAGTCTGGTGGTTGGAAATGTTTCTGCAGAGGCCAAACCAGTTGTTCATCTGATCCCATGGGGACTGCAACTGGAAAGCAAAATAATCAGCATGACTTGGGACAAGACAATAGTTTCCTGGACTCACTAACTGCAGCCCTTCAATTGCACTGTAGGTTGATGAGAGAGAGCAGATTCAGCCAGAGCAGGTTCAAGCAAGGCTCTTATGGGTGCTCCCTATAACTTGTCATATATTAACTAAAGTCCCAAAGCTGTTTTTTCAAAAGGCAACTGGACTTTCTGGTTTTTCTTTGAAGATGTTTCACTTCTCATCCAAGAAGCTTTTTCAGCTCTAAACAAGCTCAGAAAAACCAGAAAGTCCAGTTGCCTCTTGAAAAAACACCTTTGGGACAACCATGATCTGGATGACTGAGAATCTCCATAGACATTTTAACTAAAGGTAACTTACTTGTACTAACTTGTCATATCTTAACTAAAAACCTTGATTTTCCTTCTTCTTCAGTTGACTCCTTTTTCATCTTTTGCCCTGTAATCCAAAAGATGGAACCCCTTTTGAAAGGTGCCTTTCATTCGTTTGGGGTTTGAAAAATGCTAGGAATCACTGAAAACTGTTCTTTTCCTTCACTAGGAATGGAGCAAAAAAAGATCCAACTTGGGCATCTGTCATGCTCCAGGCTTCCAAAGGGAAGAGAGAATTTCAGTAAATAAATAAATTCGCCACAATGCAGAAAGCTTGCCACTGGGAAGTTGTCCAGCCACCAGACCTCCCTATAGTCTGGTTACAAAACCATTTCAGATATTTTATATTGTTATCTTTCTTGATGGCTGCTGTGATTTAGTACAAATGCGGAGTTTGTGCTTTTACCATTGTTCACAGGATTCCCAGATTTTACCTGTTTGGTTTTCTGGTAAGCCTCCAGAGCATTTAGCCAAGCTAGCACTGGACCTTTGTCATCTGTCGATCCTCGGCCATACAGCTTCCCTAAAGAGGCAACACATTAAAGCAAGCTGCAATTAAACAGAGTTATCTTTACTGCCATGGGAAGCTACAGCCTGCAGGGCTCAGGTCATTCTGGCACTGTCTGCACATCTCACAGCTCTGTCTTAGCTTTAGATACTAAACCATCTTGTCCTCTGGTATCAAATGGCTATAGGTGCATATTAATGTGCTCAGTGAGATCTTGGTTACAAACAGAACACCTTGGCCACAATACCCTAACTTTTAAGCCAAGGACATGGTCCTTTGGAGGCTGAGATTGCCCTTAACATTTAGGGACGGGAAGGGAAGGGTGCAACAGAAGGAACTAATGCAAGGATTTCATCATACACAGAAAGAAAACAGGATTTTCATTTTTCACTGATCCTAATTATTAAGGGGGTAAATTGGAAAAGAGATTGCTAAAAACCTACACATTCCTGCATCTCCCTTTAAAGCAAGACGCCTCTGCTATGTACACATTCAGGATCTTGAAGATCAAAAAACCTATTGGTGCAGAAACTTTATTTAGCTTAAAGTCCACTTCAATGCCTCCCCATGGCTATTTGCAACAAAAAATCAATTATTGAAAAGGATTCTTAACCCTGAGCTAAGTCCTTTGAACAGTTGAAAAGACAGGCAATATATTATAGCAGAGGAAAGATTACTGAGCATCTTAGCAACCATGAATCTAAACTGAATTTCAAAGAGAGGATTTTTTAGATAAAGGGTTCCACAATCCACTTTTGTAAGTTTTTAAAGCCTTATTTGAATGTAATGACAAGCGAACGTGTAATATTTCACTGCTCAAAAAAAAAAAAAAAAGCGTATTAGTTGACAAAGTTTCTATTTAGCATAATGCTTGCTTGCAAAGATAAACATATGCTAAGTCATCAGCATTTGACCTGAAATCATAAACTTATCTATTACTAGAACAAATAGAGCTGAATTCAATTGCCCTATTTGTTAACTGATAAGCTTGGATAACAAGGAAGAAAGCCAAGGTACATACAATATTTGTCCACTGCTAAAAGTGCCAAGCTTTTAGCAGGGAAAAACAGTTAAGAGCATGGGCAATGGTGGGATTCAAAATGTTTTACTACCAGTTATGTGAGTGTGGATTGGTGGGCATGGAATGGCTTGGTGGATGTGGCTTGGTGGGCGTGGCAGGGGAAGGATACTGTGAAATCTCCATTCCCGTCCTACTCCAGGGGAAGGTTACTGCAAAATCCCCATTTCCTCCCGATCAGCTGGGACTTGGGAGGCAGAAAATAGATGGGGGGCGGGGGGGCAGTCAGAGGTGGTATTTACCGGTTCTCCAAAGTACTCAAAATTTCCGAGACTAGTTCTCCAGAACTGGTCAGAACCTGCTGAATACCACCTCTGGGCATGGGGTAGAAAACAGAAGTATTACTCTACAACATGATCAAGATGCCAGCTACCTTAATATGACCTTCCTCAGAATCCTCTATTCCATCCCTGATTTTTCTTTTTTGACCCAATATGTTAAATCACCACTATGCTAGAGAGTTTGGGCCCCTACAAGCCGCTTCAGTTTATTTTATTTTTTAAAATATTTTCTCTTTAGCATAAGAGCAGGGACATCCAATCTCCGTCAGGCTTTCAAGACTCTGGTTTTCCTCTCTGCAACAATAAAGTAGAACGTCAGTAGCCCTTGCGGAGTCCGTCTGCTGACTTGGCCTTCCTCAAAGGGCTGACAAGCTGGCAGATCATTTCAGCCACAGCAATAGAACTTACTCTCCTAGCAAAAGTACATGGATCGAACCAAAACAGGATAGCTGGGAATGGAAACTGGATAGCACAAAGGAAAAACATGTTTCTTTCAAAATCTTGATTATGCCTAACTTTTCCATTACCAACTGCAATGTTGTTTTTTTTAAAATTAATCCTACTGGACGCAATAATTTTTTCATCCACATCTCAAGAGAAAGGAGAAAGAAAATAAAACATCGTTGGTAGCTTTCACTTCCTGTCAACTTCAACTTCCGTTATTCTTAATCAGCAAGTTTCCACCAGAGAGGGTTGAATTGGCTGCTAAGTTATGACATATGGCAGACTTTCCCAATTGTAGCAGATTATCAGCAGGAAACCTAATATGGGGGCTAGATACCAGTATGACCTCCCTTGTCCACCCTAGCAATTTTGTTTCACAACTATTCGTACCCATAACTACAGCTGTTTTATGAATGAGTAAGCTTCCATTTGCCACTATGCAGCCACAGAGTCCCTTACATGCTTTCCAAGTTTCAGATATGAATATAAAGATTGGAAATCCTTGAGCATCATACAAAAAACCCCTATAACTCCAATGAAAAGATGCAGCTGACCGGACAGACTATAATTACTTTTGCATTTTCTACAGTGTGAATTTTCCTTTTTCATCCCTAGCTGAGCTCGTGTAGAAGAATTAACCCAGTTATATAGAACTGCTGTAAAATCCTTTTGGTTGCTCATACTCAACATTTATTACAAGCCTAAATAAGCCAGGTTACAAAGCAAACTTATCTAAGCTTGTTTGGAAGGAAGTCACAGTATGCTAAAGAGATACTTAATTTATAAGATTAGGGCTTGGTAATTAACCTTTAAAATTAGGGCTTGGAATGGCCTTCCAGATGTCCCAGTGCAATGACTCCAGCCAGCACAGGTAATGATAAAAGAGTTTGGACGCTGTGCTTCAGCAGCATTTGCATAATCTTAAGTATATCACCTATACTTTATAAAAGATAAGCAGTTACTGTGCATATTGTGTCCAATTTTCAGAGACAGAAATCATTGCTTTAAAGATTGGTGGCTATAGAAATAATTTAAATAAAGAAATAAATTATTTGAATGAACACAATTAAGACAGTTTTGTCTCTGGGTTATGTCTGTATCTTCACAACTAATTTGGGCATGGTTGCAGGTTATGTGCAAAGAGTAAACAGAGAACCCAATTCAAAAAATCAACTTGAAAGCAACAGCATGAGAGCAGCTTCAAAATTTCCTCTCAAGATTTGACATATAGAAGCACGTCACATATAGACAAGTCTTACCGTCTCTTTCTATCAAGACAAAGGGTTCGCTGTCCCAGCCATCCTCTAAAGCTGCAGGTTGCACATCCAAATGGCCATAGACACAAACAGTTTTTTTGCAAGGATCTGAGCCAAGTTTGCCCAGAATTATTGGAGGTAAAGGAATCTTACTACCATCAGGCAACTGTAATTTAGAAACACTAGGTGTCAGTGTAGAACTATTTTGTACTGTATATTTACTGTAAAAGGGTAAAATGCAAAAGTTTTAGCATGGGGATGTAATTTATAGCATACATGCATCTTCCCAAATTTTTTTACATGACCCCAGGATGCTGTCTTTTCACGTTTGCAAGAGGGGCAAAAGGAGGAGTTTCAATCTTGGCACACATTCTTTAAAATGTCCACAAACTCCAATGTTATTTTTCTCACCTGAAGGGTGAGTTAAGGAGAAAACTGGGTTTTTTAAAAAAAGCTGAATAATGTTTGAGACACAGATTTCATTCCTTCAAACCCACACAAAATATAAAAAGCCTGGTCTTCTCACTCCAATTATGTCGAGAGGTCATTGACCATACTTTTTTTCTTTAGTATAGCTTCCCTTTGGTTAAGAAATAAAGAAGTGCACAACATGCTAACAGTATCATTGTCTTGGATCCACGAGTACTGGCTTAGCCTGGTTATTAATGAATTCAGATATTATTTCTGAAGGTAGAGTCACTAGGAAATACATAGAAGTCTCATTTCTATGAAAACTACATCTTGAAGAGACAAAAAGATTAGAAAGAGAAAAATTAATATTTTGTTTCTTAAATACAATGATTCATTTTACTAATAATATGCCAGAGAAAGGGAGGGAGAGGACAGTGTAACTATCAATTCCTTCATCTTTCTCTCTCTATTTGTTTGTGTGGTCAAAATAAGGCTTGTAAGTCCATTAAACCTTCTCCGAGCTGGTGTCTTCCACATATGTAGACTTTGCTTCCCAGAATTCCCAACCATCTGAAGGACATCCAGGGTAGGGAAGTCTAATCAGGAGCAAGGGTCAGGCAATTGCGCCATAAAAGCCTTGAGAGAGAGAGCACGATACTGCTCCATCACCAATATGCTGACTCAAACACTGGCAGAAACAAGGACTGGGTTTGTCCTCAGAGGGGAAATATAGAATTCACCCAGGAGAACAGGTTGAACCTGGGACCATGAAGATCAGATACTTCATTTCAAAGAGAAACTGCCTACAACTGCATACCTGTTTGTCTGCCTACCCAGAGAAACTGCTTAATTACCTCAGGCTCAAGTGAGGACAGGATGGCAGCACAAAGATTGACAGGGCAGATCATAGCCTGTCATTCGCAAGACCAGGAAGGGCAGTATTTTTGCCCTCTCGAGCAGCAAATATATTCTGGGTCCCAAGCTAGAGGGGGCCTCTCTTTAGCATGTACATAAAGAGACCTTCCCCTTTTGCACTGCAAACTTCAGCATGCAGACTTCTCTCCACACTTTCACCAATACAAATACAAACTCTCCTTCCACTGCCAAATACAAAGACCACCTCCTATCCCTGTTGAGCACCTCTCATCTAGAGACATGAAGAGCAGAAAAAAATTTGTTGCCATCTGAATGTAGTCATATTCACTATTTAAAAATTGCACAACTCTAGGCAATGTCAGTAGACTTCTAAAACAAATAAGCAAACAATGTTAAGTTAAGCAGTTTTGGTCCTGTGTAGGGAGACCATCAGGAAACCTTAGGGATATAGATTAGACTGGAAGAACAAAAAGGCAAAAAAACATTTTCATACTGAGCTATATTATGTACCACAAGCTGAGCTCAATTGGATGGAACCTTTTATGTTTTACTTATGATTAGTAGATCTTTCTGTTTCCATAGTTCCTTGATAAGGACCCCTCTTCTTACCGTCTGCTTCCCGACATCTATCAATTCAGTTGTGCCCCCAAGCCGTTCAATGTCTTTTGCAGCAACTTCCATCATCCGTCTGATTTCTTCTCGCTTTTCTGGCCATGCTGACACACTCTGTATTGCGACCCACTGAGCTAGACGCTATTTACAAGCAGTTTAGAAAACAACAAACATGATGGGGAAGAAGAGTGAAAGGGGAAAATATGGAATGAGATCATTTTCTTTAGTGGAAACAGATCCATAAAGAAAAACTTCAAATATTTTGGAATTAATATAGAAGCCAGAATTCTCTTTAATTGTACCAAAGCTTAATGTTCACAAACCACAATCAGCAAGGATTCCTGTTGTTGTTAGTTGTGAAGTCTTGTTCAATTCATCGCAACCCCATGGACAACTTTTCTCCAGGCCTTCCTGTCCTCTACCATCCCCTGGATACCATTTAAGCTCACGCCAATTGCTTCAGTGATTCCATCCAGCCACCTCATTCTCTGCTGTCCCCTTTTTCTTTTGCCCTCAATCATTCCCAGCATTAGGCTCTTCTCCAGTGAGTCCTTCCTTCTCATTAAGTGGCCAAAGTATTTCAATTTCATCTTCAGGATCTGGCCTTCTAAAGAGCAGTCAGGACTGCTCTAGCACTGACTGGTTTGATTGCCTTGCAGTTCAAGGGACTCACAGGAGTCTTCTCCAGCACCATAGTTCAAAGGATTCCTACTGACTGTTAAATATAATACAGGTAAGCATGTTGTGGGCCCTGTCAGTCAGAGAATTCTGGTTGTGGCTTCTGCCCTCTGGAACTTCTTATCCCCTGATGTGAGATCAGACCTGAAGACCTGGCTCTGTCAGATGGCTTAGGGGTCCAGTGAGAGGAGCATCACACTGGAGATGGTTGATAATTTAAGAGGCAATCCCACCTCCTTCCCCTATGCATCCTGCTCACTCACTCTCCATCTTTTAACTATAATTTTTATTTTTTATATGGCTTATTTATCTTATTGTTTTAATGCTTTTAACACTGTAAGCCACCAGAAAAGCCACAGCTTTGAAATGAGATGGGTGGCAAATAATTGTAATAAATGAATAAAAATAAATAGTGCAGCAGAATTGTAGTGGTTTCTACACTCACCTAATCTTGAGCCCAAGAATGGCATATTTCAATATAGCCCCTTAGCTAAACTAGCAAACAATTTTGGATCTTGGGGACCAAGTAAGAGAAGGGCTGTTTCTACCCAATGCAATAAAAGTTGTTTCAAAAAAATAGGTGCAGCTCTTAGTTACGAGTCTAAAGAATTGCAACCGGACCAAAATTATATTCTGTTCTTTTATCAAGGTGAAATTACAACTCCATAATGAACCTTCCAAATAAATTCCCTTTACAGTCATAACTACAAAATCCTATTCCTCCCACTTTTTAGCCCTCCATCTATTTCAGCAATCTTTTAAAGGTAGGTTCACACCAAGGCCTTGCTCACCATTAAGATTTGCAGAAGAAATTCTTCTAAAGATGCTCTGACCGCTAGATGGTCATTTACCTAGCACCCAAGAAAGACCCACCTGTGCTGCTCTTGCCCAATTACGGAATGCATTCCCTGAGGGTTTAGATCCCCAATTCTCTGACTTATGTAAAACCTATCACATCCATTATTCGTTTTCTCAATTTTTTGCTTCATACCGTGAAGTACTGATGCTGCCATGAAACCAAGCTACTGTAAAGGGGAATCCAGAAATATTTGTAATCAATAAAAGACAACTTTTGCAGCTCAGTATTAAAATGAGGGTTCTTTGGTGCTCTTTGAGCTTATTTTCTTGCAGATGTTTTATTACCCAAACTGGGTAACATCAATCTGATGTTATACCTAGGTTGGGTCATGAAACGTCTGCAGCAAAACAACCAAGTTCAGAGAGCACTCAGGGTTTTTATTTATTTATTTTTGTATTTCGTCAAGCATGTATTTAATAACAGATACAAGTGTAAACATGATGATGAATACATGAAATGGATACGAATAAAAGGGAACATTTGGACAGGGATGGTAGGCAGGCAGGCTGGTGCGCTTATGCACGCCCCTTAAAGACCTCTTAGGAATGGGGTAAGGTCTACAGTAGACAGTCTAAGGTTAAAGTTTGGGGAGTTTGGGGAAGAAACCACAGAGTCAGGTAGTGCATTCCAGGTGTTGACAACTCTGTTACTGAAGTCGTATTTTCTGCAGTCTAGTTTGGATCGGTTTACCATGAATTTGTATCTATTGTGTGCTCTTGTATTGTTTTGGTTGAAGCTGAAATATTCATTGGCTGGTAGGACATTGTAGCAGATGATTTTATGTACTACGCTTAGGTTTGTAATCCTGCAGAGTGCTTCTGGTCCTTTAATTTGTTTTTGGCCTCATTTGAGAATGGACTATTCCATCTCCATCAACCTTGAGATTCGCATTATTACACTGTAATGCTGCAATGAGAGAACTGAGTGACCCTCCAAAGGAAAGGTCGGAGTATAAACTTATTCCCAGCCTACAAAAATCTTGGAACAAGCAGAGTCAACTCTTCTTCTATGTTATCAACTAAGATTAGCTGGGAATTGCTTTGCCGTGATTGTTCCACACCCACTATTCAAGGAAAGAACAATGCAGTTGTGTAAACTCTTTAAAATCTTGTAGTTTCAAAGGAAGAGTTTATGGATTTTATGTTCGGGAAAGAGCTACCTACCTCCACATAAAGGTCTTGATGTTTGTCCACATATTCAAAAAGAGATTCCAGAGCAGATGTCATTTTCTGATCAAAATAATGTGATTGAGAAATCTAGAGGGTGGGTTTTAAAAAAATGAGAAAAAGAGAGAGAAAAAAGAAATTTTAAACTCTTGCAACAGGTTGCCTCACTTGGGATTCTTCCTTTTTAATTGTTCTATATTCTGGCTAAGCTCTAACTTGCAGCTCAGCAGATTTTAGCAAAATCATGAGGACTCACTAAAGGGGAATCCTTCTGTGAATAATGCCACTAGTCTCATGACAGGAAAAAGCAATACAAAGAAAGTCATTAGCTGTTGATTTTAAAAGCTTACAGAGCTGAATGGTAACACGAGGAGATAGGAAACAGAATCTACAAGAAGGCCATCCTGTTTATTGTCTTCACAGATCCTACTCAAAGCCCAGTTCTATTTCTCTCTGGCAGCTGAAGAGTTCATACATAACCTAATCAGGGTATGAACTCTGGGATGACCTGGACTTCTTTTTCACAGATGCCCTGCATATGTAAATTATTATTCTTTTCTTCCAGGCAGTTCCTCTTTCTCATTTTCTCATTGAAACAATCTTGTGAGGCTATGAAATAGTAAGAGGCCTAGTTTCTGAATAAAAAAATGCCAATGTATTTCGATTTCTTCTAATGAAAACCAAGTTTGTACAAAGAATTTCAAGTAAATTTTATGTGTTGCCTGATTCCTACTGATAGAAAACTCTGGGCGGTTACTAATACTATTGGTTCTTAATATTAGTAAGCATTAGTATTGATAAGCATTATTAATAATTGTTTATTAAATGTATAAAAATGCATTCACAGCCATCTGGCACCAATGTAATTATAATAAGACATATAAATGAGCATTTATCATAAAGTTGTAAAACATATACTGAACAAATTTTTGCAAAAATATCTAAGCACTTTTGCTTAAAGAACTCCTTCAGCACAAATCTAATATATGTATATGAAAAGTTCTATAATAAAATTATGTGTATTTGTGGGAGCATTTGGCATTAAGCTGGGGGGGGGGAACTATAGGGGAAGAAAATGAAAGTAAATAGAGGAAACAAAACATTTGCAAGAATATTCCTATTTCCAAGGAGTTCAGAGAAAATATCAGGAGGGCGAGCAGAGTCAGAGAATGACAATGGGTTAAATGAGCCTGAAATGGCTAAATCCTGAATTCTTGTGGTATCTTTTCTGTCATAACTTTGAACAGTAACTGAATAAGTGGCCGCTAAATAAGGACTCCCTATTTTAGTGCACCTACACAAACATGTAATTTTTCCTCATCAGCCTGAAATAATCCAAAGCAAGGTGAAGGACTCGTCACTGAAAATCACAGACTATAATTGGCCATGCCGGTCTAATGTGAACTGGTAGAAATATCCAACTGAGTCTATGACTCAGAGAAAGTAATTGGCTGAAAGTCACTCAGCCCAGTTTCTATGTGTATTGGAGGCTTCCAGTCCAGCACCTTAACCACTATACCACACTGGCTCTCAGACAGATGTTAGTTAGCTGCAGTTTCATTGCTTTTAAGGACCCCCGGCCTAGACTGTCAATGCATTCTCCTTCAAAGCAGTTCCTGCACATCAGTTGACCAATGTAATGAATAAACAAATGGACTGATCACCCTTCAGGGAAGAAAAGCCCTGACAGGCGCCTTGTCTAAGACAGCACAGAGTTCCCCCTTCGCGGTTTTGGGCTAGACTCGCAGAGGTCTTCAAACTTGGCAACTTTAAGACTTGTGGACTCCAACTCCCAGAATTCTCCAGCCAGCTATGCTGGCTGGAGAATTCTGGGAGTTGAAGTCCACAAGTCTTAAAGCTGCCAAGTTTGAAGATCTCTGGCTAGAGACTATCCGATTTCTAAACCAGGATTACGTGGCTTTATGGATTTTAAAGCCAGCGGCGGCGGCGAGGAGCTGCGGCTGATAGCAGAGTAAAATAAAAGTGGTCCTTTAAAATGAAGGACTAAAGGCCGGTTCGGTCCGTCCCTCCTGACTTGCAACTCTCAGGAAAGGCTGAAACGGCCCAGGCGAGGGAAGCAGCGGCTGCAGCTAAAGGGCCAAGCTCCACCAAAGCCGCTCCGTCTTACTCACCCTGCGGTTCAGGGCTGGTTTCCAGCCCCGGCGGCAGAAGCCACGACTAAGGAAAGCCCTACAGGCTCTAGAGAAGGTGAGCCCTACAGCCATGGCCGATCCTGGCCGGCGGCTGCAAGAAGGCCCGGGCGTGGGAAGGAAGGAAGGGAGGAAGGAAGGAAGGGAGGGGGGGGGGGGGGTAACGCGCCGGGTAGGGAAGAGAAGCAAATCCCCTGCGGCTCCTCCTTGCTGCCTCCCCCGGGATGCCCGGCAAACTTTGCCAACTCGGCAATGAAGGGGCCAAGCAAGGTGGGCACGGGACGCCGACATCTACAAGCCGGCGCCCATCCACCCACCCACCCCCATTTTTTATTTTTTTTTTGCCTTCGCCCGTGGCCATTGGCGCTCGGTGGGTCTGCTACTTACCGTGCTTCGTGCCACGCAAGGCGGATCAAACCCCTCGCGAAAGCGGGTAATTTCTTAGTGGGAAGCTCAGAAAGGGCGTTAAGGAGAACCCAGCGTGGAGCTTAAAGCCTCTTGCTAAGGCCGCCCCTTTGGAATTGCGCGAAGGCCAATCAACGGCCTTCCGAACGATTCGGCTTGGCCCTATTGGTCGCCCCGCGCGAAGGAACCCAGGAAATGAAGGGAGTCGTGGATGAAAGGAGGGAGAGCGAAGACCGAAACTGAGATTCAGGCAGCCGAAGGGGATTCTAATGATACCTTTGCATCTTTCAAAGCGAGGCTCTCTTTTGAAGGGGATGGGGGGGGGTCACCCTAGGCTAGCTAGGATCTTCTTCTTGTACCGCTTGCGGTTGAATAAATAATAGTCCAGAAAAATGTAGAAATTGCCAAAAGCGTTTCTATCCTATAATTGGTTTAAGCTTACTTTATAAGCTTTTAATTATTGTTACAAAGGAGGAGAAAGATGCTAAACTCTATCCGAGGGGGAAAAAAAACCAGGTTCATGCTAAAAAGAGAAGCATCAGCTTTATAAATGTGTGTTGCTTCGTGTCCTCTGCTATATTAAACAGCTACTTATAAAAATATACTTATAAAAGTATACTTATAAAAGGCTAATTGTTCGGAAAATCAGAGAAAACAAGAGTGAAAAATTAAGACTCAGAATAGAGGCTGGGGTTTGCTTGATTTTGACCTCTTGGACCTTTTGAAAATTGAAGGGTTTGCCTGTGTTTATGCAAACTTCTCTATGCCTTGTTCCTTCACTGTTTTTCAACATATAATGCCATATCTTAATGTTGTATGTGTTATTTAAAGCATGGGGTTTTAGGGAGGGTCACAACTCCCTAGAGCAGGGGTGTCAAACTCGATTTCTTTGACGGCCGCATCAGGGTTGTGTTTGACCTGGGGTGGATGGGCGTGGCCAGCTCGACGTTGGGGTGCCTGTGGCGGCCTGAGCGCTCTGCCAGCGAAAACAGGCTCCTGAGCTCCATTTATAGCTACCACGGCCTCCTGCAACCCTCTGCCAGTGAAAACCCTGTTCCCAGAGTGGCCCCACAGGCCAGATCTGAGTATCTCGCAGGCCCGGATCTGGGCCCCGGGCGTTGTGACACCCCTGCCCTAGAGAGTTGCCAGATGCTTCAGAAAAGGATCATAAAAAATATGTAAGCCCCAGAGTTAAGTTTTGACAGTGCTCTTCCTTTCACAAAGTGAAGTATCTCAGGCAAAGCAGGAAGCAAATCCAGAATCAGTTTTGAGAATGCTTCCATTTTAATGATTGTCCATCCATAACAGGAGCACCATCAGAACGCTTCCAGCTTGCAGTATAAGATTTGGTTTTGCTCTGGTAAAGCAGGGGAAGCGGAACCTGAAGATAATGCTCAGCATACATCAAACCTGATAAAATGTCCAAACAGGCTCCGACTTTATCTGGGCAAAACTGAGAGCAAAGCCCCAAATGAGTTTTGGGAGAGATGACTAAGCCTGCTGGATCTATCCATCTCTCAAAACTATCTGCCAATCACATCAATTTTATTTATTATTGTGCTTTTGGTCATTAATTTACTTATTTAACTTTACTCATGCAAATTATTTTAACAGATTGCAATCTCCCCATTGTAGGAAGAAATATCCTTCTGTGTTCAGCTCCAAGTGGGAAAAAAAACACTGGAAACATGGAGACTGCTTGGAAAGATGGTTTAATGGTGGACAGGATCACATGGTTTGAGTTCCTGAACAGAAAAGGGACGAGATACACCAGTCCCCGGGTTTTATGCTCTCTCTGGCTTTGAACTTCCTGGGGCCCAGAAAGAGTATCCTGATGGTTGTCAGACTTCCAGGGGGTGGTGGTCTTAGCTAGCCTTGCTGGCTGATGTAATCTTCCCAGGTGCTATGTGGTGAGTTTCTGTCCTAGATGGGTCCTATTGTGTTGCAGATGATGGTCCTTTGACAAAGGATTGAGTTTCTGCCTCTGGCCCGTTAACAAAGGTGTGGGGAGGGGGAGGGGGAGACAGGAAGCTGCTTTGTCTTTAAAACATGTTTCTCCATTTCTCATCCAGGGAAACAATATTCTGCCTTTTTAATATTTCCCAAAATATTTCATTCTTCTAAGAAAGGGGTGGGTGCTAACTTCCTACACCATGTTGGAAATAAAAATAGTAATAGAAATAGCCTGGAACAACTATTTAGCCGCTTATATCATCATGGGAATGGAATACATTAGTACAACAATGCAACAGCAGTCGGGAAGGTAAGGGAAAACCATTGCACTATATTTTCCCAGGTTGAGAAAAAAATTAAACCTCAGTGGCTGAAATAGCACTAATGGTTACCAACCTTTGGTAGGAGGCTGCACTAAAAGAACAAGATTTAATACTACAGTAACTGAATTATTGTGTAGTCAGCTCAATAGCTCTTGTCAGCTCAATAGCTCTTCAATTTCCAGCAATCTCGATCATCTACCCTTTACATAATTGATACACCTCTGCCCAGAATCCTAATAATAAAAAATAATGACTGTAACAGTGTAGCATTATTACATTTAATAACATAGATTAATGGGCTACACTGTGTAGATGGTCATTTACTTAGGTGGCTTCAGAAGACAATTGGGCAACTCATAAAAGATACCTATTAAGGATGACATCCAATCCACCCTTTACCATAGCGAGATTTTAGAACACTAACACTTTACAGAAAAATAGCAACAAAAGAGTATCTAGGGGATATTCTTTTTTTAAAAAAAGGCATTGAGAAAAGACTAGACATAGTAGATTTTTGACCTGATTTACCAGGATCCCATGTTAATTTTTTTTCTGCTCATTAGTATTGCTTATAATAGGGATGTGCTCACATATTGCGATGACTGAATTTGCACAACATGCTAAGTCAAAATGAAACAGAAACATGATTTAGAAGTTTCAAGGCTAAGGAAAATCTAATCTGATAGTTTCCTTTCCATTTTCCCCCCACCTCAAACAATCAGACAATCAGTAATCTATAGTCATGGGAAACAATCAGATCTTGTATCTTAAAAGAAGTATTTGAAACAAAGAAAGGGCTTGTCCGTCGTGCTGTGCCATAATTTTCCTAATATTGTTGACTGGTTGAATTTGTTTATCCACTAAGCCAGAAACTGTGGTTTTCAAATTGCATTAGTGAGGTTTCCTTGACCAGCTTAAGATTTTGACATGTGTAAAATGATGTCTGTCTCGGTAATTATAATAGGTCATGATTAAAAATCAAAACCAAAACTTCATTGTGTAATAACTAGAAGAGGCCAGAAGGTGGCCTCTTGTATCTGAATGAAAACTAACTAAAATGTTTGAAAATGTACTCTTTGAACTGAACTGTTTGTATTTATTCCAACAAAAGCCCCTCATTAAAAATCTATCTCATTAAAACCCATCAGCATCATTCACACAGACTGGTCCTTATGATCCCATCCTTTGAGGCCATAGGAACAGGCCATACCAGTTTTGCCTCTGGAGCAAGCCAAAGGAGAAGCGGGTTGATGGAATTGTGAAAGCAGTATAAAAATACATTTCAGCAGTACAGGAAATAATGTAGAACAGGGGTCCCCAACCCCAGGCTGTGGCCCACTACCGGGCTCTGGCCCCCAACTCCAGCCCACAGAAATGGTAGGTGAGCACCTGCGTTCAGCTGCACTTGTATTAGTAGCGGGCGAGAACTCAAAGCTGCATTTGCAAGTGCAAAAAGGGCACTTGCCTGCTGCTTGTGCAAGTGGAGCTGCACACATGTATGTTTGCTCACTGCTCACACAGAACCATTCCCTCTCTCTCCCTCCTCCCACCATTCTGCAAAGCCAGAAAGATTGAGGAATGCTGATGTAAAATGACTAAATTTCGGCATCCTCTTATGCATATTTTTCTGTCTTTCTTTTTTTCTCAAGCCTTCACACCTCCCAGGGGAAAAAAAGCCAGGTTGAAACCTTTGATTTTCTTTCTTTCTTTTTTTAAGGTTCGCTCCATCTCTGTCTAGGTTGGGCCGCAAATACTAACTAAACTGTGCTTCATCCCATTGAATATAATGATAATTAATTCTGAGTAATTGCATACAGTTAGTCTTATGATTCATTTAGCGCTGTTTTAACTTACAATGGTGCTGAAAAAAAGGAACTGACAACTAGTCCTTTTACTTACAACCATCACAGGTCCATGATCACAGTTCATGCATTTGCCAACTGTCATGTATGTTCAATGGTTGCAGTATCCTGAGCTCATGTGATTGCCATTTGTGACCTTCGCAACTATCTTCTGACCCACAAAGTTAATGGGGAAAGCCAGATTTGCTTAATGACCATAGGAAAAAGGTCATACAATCAGGCACAGCTCTGATTCAACAACCACAGTGCTTAATGATAGAAATTGTGGTCCCAATTTTGGTCATAAGTCGAGGTAAGACAAGACTTGCAGTAAATTAAGCTTAGAGCCTGGTTTCACATCCTCTGCTAAGCCATGGTTGTTTTATGCTTTGCTGAATAAATCACAGTATCTCTGATCCCATGCCATGAGCCATTTACAAACCATAATAGATGGGTTCACATGACATGCTAAACCAAAAACCCAAGCAGACCACGATAGAGCAAGTACAAGATATGAACAAAATCAGTCTGCTCTCACCTCTAATAAAGCCATGTAGGTTTGCTCTGTTGGTGATGACTGATTTTCAAATGCATGAATTTCCTTAAATCCATGGAATTTGAAGGTAGGGAGAGTGTAGAGGAAATGATAAAATAGGGGTCAGTAGCAGGAATTGTTTTAGCCACAGATTGTTGATTAAAACACAGCAGCTGGTCTTTGCACTGCTAAAGCAACACCAAAAGGTTAGAAGCTTCTGCCCTCCTTGCTGAGTATGAACATCATAGGTGTCCATTCCTTAACCAAAATGATAAAACATAAACCATGATTTCACAACAAAAATTTGACTCTATTGGTGTCAGAATTTTGCTTCAAAATATAAAAAGAGCATCATTTGTGTTTCATCGTTTGTTTTTCCTGCCTATGATGATAAACAGTGGGATGTAGTTAGCCCAGAAATCCCCTCTCCAAGGTCTTTCAGTTTTATTGATTATATTACTGCAAGG